TAATTTCTGTGTCTCATAAGTCTGAACCATTTTCATAGAAAGCTAGGTAGTTTGGAGGATATAATTGCAACTTATTTAAAGAAGTGGAACAGATCTGAGGCTCTGCCATGGCAGCACAACTGCACATTGAGTCTGTTTATGATTGTTCCAGCTGTTTATTGTTCTGCTTACTCTCAAATATTTCATCAACATTACACAAAAATTTACATTAAGACTACAGAATCAACAGTTTTGGTTCATAGTACCAGTGCCTAGTCAGAAGAGCTCTCTAAGTAATTATTATTTGCATTCATAGCTACTATAAATTCAGTGAAATTCACAATTAGTTTATCTATTATGAGATAATTAAATAGTAGGCAAAATACATGTACATTAAGAATAGCTGATTTCATAAATATTGTCTTTTAGTTTAGAGTAGAAATACCTTATATAGTTAGAGAAATAGGATTTTTTTGGTAAAATCAAATTATTTGATCTATAGGTAAAGCTGTTACTTGTCAAGAAAAGAGGTACTAGTTTAATCATTTCTATTAAAAAACATAAGTAACTAAAGTGATGATAGGCATTGTATGTGGATAAAAACTAAAACAAGAATTAATAGCATTGATTTTTGTCTATTCATCACAAATTGAACTCTTGCCTCATTTCTGAACTCTTAAGCTTGTTTACTATAGTATAACATATATACTATTGTTGCCCTGATTGATTTCCTTGGAAATTAATAGAGTGGATAGATATATGACTAATGGATGTCTTATAGTGCTTAGTCTTTTGAGTACTGTTTCCTCAATAGGTTCTCAGGTTGCTAGTGTTCGGATCCCAAATACTTTGTTGAACAGACTGCCTGTTCATACAGGAGCTACATTGTTGAATAGCCTCATTCCTTCCGATGGGTGTGGAGCAGGATTAAAGCACACTTTATAGAGGTTCTAATTGTAGATACCTAATTGACTTGATGAATAGTGAATGCTAAAATTTAAACACACACATACACATAAACCTGTTTCAGAGCTCATCTACGTGACAGAACAAATGCCTCACAGGTGTTGAATGCTTATAAGATAAAAGAGGAGTCTTTCCATATTTCCCAAGAATTTTCTTTTGAAGTTTATATGGATTTTCCACTTCATTGTTTCTTTTCTAAAAAATGAATCTTTATTTCACGGCGGGAATCCATTTCATCTTTGTCTACTTTTTACTTGCAAAGCAGACCTGACTTTTAGAAGTCAGCCAAAATTAAAAACAAAATCTGTCAGCAAGTAAAAACCCCCACATTTTAGGGAGAGGAGACAAAACTGCTGACTCTCATCTTTATTCTAGTGGGGTCACAAGTTCTTAGTTTTGCAAGAATGGTGCTTTACTGAATACTTCCAAGGTCTCTCGAGTTCGCCATCATTACCCAAAGAGATAGGGCTAGGGATTTGTCAGCTGTGAAGGCTTGTTATTATTATTATTTTAATTAAAAGCACACCAGCTTATTTACCAGTTATAATACAAGCTTTCCCTTCTTATTGTTTTGCAAGTCTTTTAAAAGCAAATCACTTTTTTCTTGTTATTTTTCAGTCACTTGTAAGAAAGATCACAGAGATCCCATGTACCCTTTCCCTAGGTTTTCCCACTGGTAGTATATTGTATAGTTTTGTTTGCTTGCTTTTGAGATAGGAAGTCACTCTATAGCCCAGGTTGGCCTTAAAATCATGGCAGTCCTCTAGCCTCAACATCCTTGTGCTGGGACTATGGGTGTGAGCCGCCATACCTACTCACGTGTGTGTGTGTGTGTGTGTGTGTGTGTGTGTGTGTATTCACAACCAAGACGTTTTTATTGGTATAATCTGTGTTTAGTTCTGTACAATTTAGTAATGTGTAGATTGTGTCTACCACTAAAGATTCTATGCCATTTACCCTTCTTACATTCTTCCTCTCCAGTTTCTTGCCATTAATATTCTTTGTCTCTAATTTTTTCATTTCAAGAATGCTATATAAGTAGAGTGATAAAAAAATAACCTTTTGAGCTGGGCAGTGGTGGTGCACGCCTTTAATCCCAGCACTCGGGAGGCAGAGGCAGGCGGATCTCTGTGAGTTCGAGGCCGGGCTGGACCGATAGCCTCCAAAACAATACAGAGAAACCCTGTCTCGTAAAAACAACAACAAAAAAATAAATAACCTTTTGAAATTGGAAAATTTTACTCAACACAATACCCTTTGAGATATATCTAAATTATGTATATATCAGTAGTTTATTGCTTAAGAGAAAGTCTTGCTGTGAAACATAAGGTGGCCTCAAACTTGCCATTCTCTGTCTCTGAAGTAGGTTTTTATTGTTTGATGTTACTTATGTTGAAGAGTATTTGGTTGTTTGTAATGTGTAGCTGCTATACTAAAGCTACTGTAACGTCTATGACTTTTTTGCTTGTTTTTTGTTTTTCGAGACAGGAGCCTGTCCTGGAACTCTGATCTGTAGACCAGACTGGTCTCAAACCCTGCATCTACCTGCGTCTGCCTCCTGAGTGCTGAGATTAAAGGCATGTGCCACCAGCGTGCAGCATGTCTATGACTTTTTATACTTCCTTATTAATAATATTTTATTTAACTGAATAATAGGTTGTAGAGGTAAGGGTAAAATGTATCATTCGCTAAACATTTCCTAGAGACCAAACTCAAGAGAGAGTGAAACTTTAACACTGTCTCCCCCAAATTCTTCAGAGCCTTCATTTTGCTTATTTGGATTTCCTGGCACCACTGGAGCCAATATGGAGATTAGACGGACTACCTCACCAGTGTCTGTCTTGACAATGATTAAGAAATAGGAAAGTTTTTAAAATGAAAAAAAGGAAAAGAAATAGGATATTAAAAAATTCTTCCTTATCTAGATTATGTTCTCTAAGATTGTAGTAATTATAGGTACTATGAAAAAACGTGTTCTTAGAAATAAGTGCATTAGTGTTTTTAGACACATCATGTTGGTGTAAGAATGTAACTTACTAGTGTCTGGGAACTACCAAAGGCAGATAGTAAATAATCTTTTATAATCATTCAACTAATAATGATTTCTTTAGGACTAATTCTCTCCAATACAAGATAATCTTAGCTAGACATGGAGGCGTACACTTACATTCTCAGGGTTTAGTGGGCTGAGAAAGGAGGGTTATGAGTTTGAGGTCAACCTGGGCTGCGTAGTAAGTTTGAGACCAGCCTGAGCCATATAGAGAGATGCTGATTTGTTTTAAGTTTTTTTCAAGTACATTTTATTTTTATGTATATGATTGTTTGGCCTTAACGTTTATCTGTGCCTGCTGCCCTTAGAAGCTAGAAAAATAAAGTCAAATTCCCTAAGACTGGCATTATAGGCAGTTATGAACAGTCACATGGGTGCTGGGGATGGAATCTGAATTCTGTGAAGAGCAGCCAGTGCTCTTAAACACTGAGCCATCTCTCGAGCCCCCCAAAATTTTCATTTTTCCCCAAGGTTTATTTTACATGTATGAGTGTTGCCTGCATGTATACGTATGTGCTGTGTGTATGCCTGGTGCCCATGTGGTGAGAACATGGCATCAGATCCCCTGGCACTGGAGTTACAGTGGTTGTAAAGCACCATGTGGTTGCTGGGAAGGAATCAAAGCCTGGTCCTAGGAACAGAAGCTAGTGCTCTTAACCACCTGAGTCATCTCTCCAGTCTGGGAGGCCCAACTCTTAAACAAAGAAAGGAAATGACATTCTTAGATAATATTAACAATTTCTAGGTAATTTATTTTTAAAGTATACTATTTCTAGTTGAAAAAATTACAGAATAGGAAGAACTTAATTAGAAATCAAAGTTAATAGAAAGCCCTTTTACTCTCTTAATGTTAATCAGATTTGTAGAGGATAAAGAGCCATAATCAACTAGAAAAATTCTGTTAGAGTTTTTTTAAAAGACAGATTCAACTGTGTAGCCCAGGATGGTCCCAAACTTGTGATTGTCCTGCTTCAGCCTAAGAGCTGGTATTACAGGACCCAGTGTAGTGTGTGTTTGCAGAGAGCTTTGAGGGCTGTAAAGATGGTACAATATGAGATAGCACGGTTTGTTAAACAGACTCGTTTGATCAAGTGGCTCTTTATATATATCTTGTGTAGACATCTCTAAATATTTTACATTGCTAAACACTGAATATTTTTGTTATGAGTGTTTATATAGATTAGAACTCAAGAAATCAGATAACGATGAGAACAGCTTTGGATATATATAATATATTAGTTTCCAGTATCTCCAGAGAAGTATGGTTGTATAGTTTTACAACCCTTTGCCAATGTTTAGCACTGTTATTTTTATAATTAGTAATTAATTCTTCCTGTTTGCATTTATATTAAGTTGCTAGTAGAGTTATAGACTATATTTGGTGGGTTTTGTTTTGGTTATTGCCATGAAAATTAGAAATACCCGATTTTTATGATTTTTTTAATTAATGAAATACCCTATTTCTTTATCAATATTTTCCCTTGCCATTTTGTTTGTATCAGACTTAATTAAAATTGAAAAGAGAATGTCTAGAGTTAAAAATCCTAGTGTTCTTTGTTAAGTATTTTTCTGTAAGCAATTTTGTTTCTTATCCAGAACTTCCTGCCACAATCTAGTTTAATCCCCAGAGACTTGAGCCTACATAAGCACTATTTCTGTTAACAAATACATAGGCTGTGTCAGAACACAGACCTGCATTTATAGTGAAATGCTAATTATATGTTTGCCCTCACTATTAGAAAGGAAATAACTCACTTTTAATCTACTTGGCTGTCATATAATAGACTAAAAGCAATGATGTTGTAGATTTATTTTTGTAGCCTGAAGGTACAAGTAAAGGGAATACACTGTACATCAAATGAGTCCTGGATCATTTTTCAGAAGCCAGTTTAAATTGGCTTAATAGTATAGCATTTGCCTCATAAAGGAACTTAGATAACTGCTTTAGAATTGCTACAATGTGTAACAAAATACTGTGCTTTTTTTTTTCTTTGTTACTTTGCAGGTTTACAAGTAAAAGTAACCAAACTGAAAAAGGAACGAATTTTGTAAGTATCAGTATGTAATGACAACGTTTTATTTATTAATAAGTAATTGATATTAATAGCCAGTCTCCTTTTTTTTTAAACTTCATGTCTTAAAAAGGAATTAGCTTTGGGCTAATTAATTGTGATTTTATTGTGTTTTTTTTTGTTTGTTTTGTTTTGGTTTTTTGTTTCGGTTTTTTGTTTTTGTTTTTTCGAGACAGGGTTTCTCTGTGGCTTTGGAGGCTGTCCTGGAACTCGCTCTGTAGACCAGGCTGGCCTCGAACTCACAGAGATCCGCCTGCCTCTGCCTCCCGAGTGCTGGGATTAAAGGCGTGCGCCACCAACGCCCGGCGATTTTATTGTGTTTTTTATGTTTTAAAGTAAAAAAGAACTGGTTTCTAAGAACAGGCTTAGTTAACATGCATGTGTACTTTACTATATTCTATGATATAAAATCATTTTCATAGAATAGTGAAATGAGAATTGTTTGTGTCATTCTTTTTTCTGGTATACTAATGCTTGGAATTCACAGTATTACAAGACATGGGAAGATTATTATGAGATTTCTAAACTTGTCAGAAATGGACACCAGACATGGTGGTAGACACCTGTAATCTCAGCCCTTGAGAGAGGGGGAAGGGGGTCATGAGTTCAAGAGTAGTTTCTGCTACACAGTAGGTTTGAGGGGCAGCCTAAGCTGCATAAAATCCTGTCTTAACCAGAGAGGGTATTCCTGCAGTCTCAGCACTTGAGAGGTGATGTAGGAGGATCAGGAATTCTAGGATAGTCCTATTTATATAGCCTCAGCTACATGAGAACTTGTCCTAAAAACAACAGAGCTGAGCCTGGTGCTGCACCTGTAATCCTAGTAACTGGGAGGTAGAGACAGGGAGAGAAGGAGTTAGAGGCAAGTGTGAGCTACATGAGATTTTATCTCTAAAGACAACACACAAAATAACCATATAACGTGTGTATGTATGTGAATTTATATGAATGAATGAATGCTAAATGGGTATTCTGATACTACTTCTAAGTTTAGAATGAACAGAATGCCCCTGAATTACTTTGATTATTAAACTATGACTCATACGTGATTTTCAAGTTTGGAGTCCGTTTTTACTCACGGTTACTTGGAGTTTGCACTTTTCAGAATGTGCAATAGGTGGCATAATAGAATGTCAATACACATAACAAAAAACAATCTCATTATGACAAGGGGTTTTATATTTGCTTTACAGTATACCCATATACTTATGAGCTTGCCTTACCTCATGTTTCTAATATATCCAGATTATTGTTGAAAGCTAAGATTATTTACCATTTATAGTTATTCAAAAAAAGGAACTTTTCCTTCACACCTAGAAAGTAATATTTGCCAGCAGAGATAGATTCAGAAATGAGAAGAATACAAAACTTTTAAACATGGGGCTGGAGAGATGGCTTAGTCACTAAGCCTTAGTGGTTAAGAATGCTTGTTGTAGAGGACCCAATACCCATGTGGTGATATACAACCTTAATTCCATTTGCAGGAGATCTATGTCTTTTGACTTCCATAGACACCAGATATTGGCAAATTATTGGCAAATGACTCACTTGCTCACACAAGGCGTGTGTGTGTGTGTGTGTGTGTGTGTATGTGTGAGTACGTGTAGGAAATTGTGTTCTTTTTTGTACAAGGCCCTTAAAAGAGACATTTTAGCACTGCTCAGTGATTCAGAAATTGTTGAGGACTCAGATTATTCTTTTCTTCTCTACCATTGTTCATATTTCCTTTTCCCCTTAGACTTGACAAAATGGCACGATGGCCATGTCATTGTAATCATCTCTTGGGGGATTTGTATCCCTCTTTATTGATTACCAACATTTGCCAGAACCATTCAGCTGTCTTGCTCTAATTTACTGACCATAATTTTACCACCATTTCCCAAATAACTACACAAAAATTAACATGACTGGTTTAAATTAATATATTTGATGCTACTTTATCTATATTCCAGAATGGTTTAAACAGGTAAGTACATTGTTGACATTGTCACTCACTTTTAGAAGAAAGGAGTTAAAAACTCAGAAAGCGGGAGAATTGAATGAAATGTTTTTGTTTGGTAGGGAATTGGAATTATTAGGAGGCAGTAAATACAATATTTTGACAAAAAATATTACAGAAGTTAATGTTTTTGTTAGTGTGGGTGAGGACATAGGTATATGTGTTCTATGCATGGTCTCGAAAGGTCCCAGTGGCACCTCAGTAATCATGAGCGTATCTGTACCTGTCTTAGATCTTGATTTCTAAACAGTGTCTTCCAGTAGTCTGTGTGGGCTGGAAATACTTTGTGTTTAACACTACTTGTTTGCTCTTACAGAGGACCTGGTTTGATTCCCAACACATGGTGGCTCACAACTGTCTATAATTCCAGTCCCAGGGGATCTAATGTCCTCTTTGGCCTCAGAACATCAGGCATACAAGTGGTGCACAGACATATATGTAGGCAAAATCCTCATACATATAAGTAAATAAATAAGTCAATTACTGAATAATTTTAAAGTGATCTATGTTCTTGGAAGAAATGATAACAGCCACTTGAGGCTTGTATAGCATGGGTGATGAGCTGGAACATTTTGTGATGCCAAGAAAGAAGGACATAGTGCAAAAAGTAGTGAGTTAAAGATAATAAAAGGATGACCATGTAACTCACATGGTAGAGTGCTTGCTTAGCATGTGCAGAGCCCTGAGTTTGATTCCTAGTACTAAGTAAAAATCAGGCATGGTGATATTTATAATATCAGTACTCAGAGATGTAAGGATTTGGTAATCCTTGATTTCATAGTAAGTGTGAGGCCAGTCTGGGCTACATCAAACCTTGTCACAAAAAAATAAAAATAAAGAGGCAAAGTGAAAAAAAAAACAATAGTAAATCTAAGACAACTTGGACAAATAAATAATGATAATTTATGTCTTAGTTACAGTTTCTATTGCTGTGAAGAAACACAATGACCATGGCAGTTCTTATAAAGGAAAACATTTAATTGGACTGACTTACAGTTTCAGATGCTCAGTCCATTGTCATCATGGTAGAACATGGCAGCGTGCAGGGAGACATGGGACTGAAGAAGGAGCTGAGAGTTCTATGTGTTGATCCTTAAACAGCAGGAAGTGAACTGAGATACACTTCCTTCAATAATGACACACCTATTCTGTAAAGAGAAGCCTTCCCGCCAACCTGGTTCCAGAGCCGCATCAGTCCCAAATGAACACACAGGAGGCTATATTAATTATGAAGCTGTTGGCCTTGCTTGTTTCTTACTGGCTAGCTCTGACTTAAGTAATTACCCCATAATTGTTAATCTAAGTATTTCTCTTACCGGAGAGGTTTCCAGGCTTCCTACCCCATGGCGTTACATCTTGACTCTCTGTGTTTCTCCTACCCAGAGTCCTCCTGGATTCCTAGTCCCACCTATCTTGGTTCCCTATTGGCCAACAGTGCTTTATTCACATATACACAGGACTTCCCCCATCATCTTCTCTATTCTGTCTAAGCAGAAAGAAAGGTCTTAACTTTAACATAGTCAAATTATATATAACAGAACAGTTATCAAGCAAGAACACAGTTACAATATTTTAGCAAGATTAAAAAAAAATACCATCCATCCCATCCTTGAGAGTCCAAAGTCCTATATGTAGCTTATCTTTTATCATAACTAAGGAAAACTATAATTATAACTATCTGTCTTCAACTCCATCAAAGACCACAGAAGGATAATATATAAACACTAGGATTGACAGAGACATCTTACTGCCTGGACAGTCACCCAAAGCTCCTCTGTAATATAGGGGCATCTATCTTTAGCCCATAGGCCACCATGTGTCCAGAAGATTTCTCAGCAAAGCAGGAAATTTCAAACTGTCCATCTGCATTGGCAGTCTGTCAGTCATTTTTCTGTGTCCTGCAGAAAGTCTCGTAGACTCTTCCATGAATCAGGAACCCTGACGGACTGTTTGAATTCAGCAGTCACTTTCCTGTGGGTCCTGCATGTCCAGTTTATACAGCAACAGTCAAGCAGTCTAGGCAAGAGCAGTTTCTTGCCCAAATGGCTAATGTTGTCATGTTGAAAGCAAACTCCATAACTTGTTTCTTCAATGCCCATCTTCCTCTCAGATATAATTGGGGATGACAGGAGCAGACATTTCTCATTGTCAAGAAAAACCCTAAACCATTTTAAATACCATTTTCAGAAGGTCTTTGAAAGGTTTGAAGACTATCTCAAAAATATTTCTGTATATCTAGAAAACATAACTTACCTAACTATTAGTTCTGACTATTATAAGTAACTATAGTCTGTATTGAATTATGCATTATGTTTTAAAAGATCAGTATAAGCACAATACTTAATCAAGAGGAGAAATATACACATCACAAAATTGACCTTGAATTTGTATCAATAAATGAAAAAACATACCAATACAAAGTATTCATTTCCATACCATAATCCTCTTTTTCCTTTAAAAAGAGATTGGTTGTGATCATTAACCAATTATAAACAATCCCATTTAAATAAAAACAAATATTTACAAACAAGATGGGAATTAGGACGGCGCTCATTCCAAACTGCTTCATGCTGGAAGGGGGCGCTGTTCACACCATGGGATCATGACAAAACTCAGAAACCTGTATAAGTCCTTATTTTCGGGGTCTATAAAGCTCCATCATCTTAGCTATTTCAATTGTTGGAACACCTGGCTCACTGCTTCCGGGGGCCTTGGTTCATCAAACCACAGAAGCCTGGAAGGAATCCTCAGCTTTTCATTTTCTGTAGAAACATAAACAAAAACTCCTTTCCCAAGTAACATATTCTTATACTTAAATTTTGAATTCAAGGCATTTTTAAAAGGTATAAATTGAATTAATTCAGCAGCATTTATAATCAAGTGTACTTTAGCAGTTGTTCCTTCCTGAGCAATCAAAAAAACTGAAAAACACAATAGCATACAGTATCCAGACTCTCTGTGTATTTTCCATCTTTAGGTGGTTTATTTATTTATCTATTATTATTACTGTATTTCTTTTACTTTTATTTCTTTATTTCTCTGAGACAGGGTTTCTCTTTGGAAATCTGCCTGCCTCTGCCTCTGCAGCACTCCTACTGGCTTGCGCCACCACAGCCGGCTTCTCAATTTATTTACCATTATGTCGTTTCTTTTTCTCTCTCAATCTTACGTATATTTTTAAACACACTGTAAACCTTTAGAGGTTTTTCTTCATCCAAGTCTGACTTTACCATAAATCTTTGTTTTTCTGGCCACATGCCTTATCTGTTAAAACTTCGGCTGTTTAAACTGCAGTTTTTCCAAGATGGCGGGCATAAGCGTGATTCCAGCCACAGTCTCAGTCTATGCTGAGATCCAGCAAAAGCTGCTGGCTTAGAGATGTGGTCACTGCCACTTCCAGCTGTACGTACACACCTTTCAATTGTTAGCAGAGCCTCTTAAAAGAACCTTGTTGTTTTTTTTTGTTGTTGTTTGTTTTTGCTTATGCTGAGTCAGGAAGACTCCCTTAAGCGAATAGCATGAGTCTCTGCTTGTTGCTAGCAAAACAGAGCCCACCTGAGAAAATGCTGCTACCAAAAATCTGTGCTTCTTTCTGTTCTTCTGTTTCTAAAATTCCTTTAAAGCTTTTGTCATTCTATGTGGAAATTCATCATCCCACTCCTGATCACCATTATATAAATAGAAGCCTTCCCGCCAGCCTGGTTCCAGAGCCGCATCAGTCCCAAATAAACACACAGGAGGCTATATTAATTATAAAGCTGTTGGCCTTGCTTGTTTCTTACTGGCTAGCTCTGACTTAAGTAATTACCCCATAATTGTTAATCTAAGTATTTCTCTTACCGGAGATGTTTCCGGGCTTCCTATCCCATGGCATTACATCTTGACTCTCTGTGTTTCTCCTACCCAGAGTCCTCCTGGATTCCTAGTCCCACCTATCTTGGTTCTCTATTGGCCAACAGTGCTTTATTGACATATACACAGGACTTCCCCCATCACTACTCCAACAAGGCCACACCTCCTAATAGTGACACTCCCTATGAGTTTATGGAGAACGGTTACATCCAAACCACCACAAATTATATTTCCTTTAAAATAAAGGGAAAAGTCTTTGTTGGTGGAATTCCAGTTAGTAAATGTAGAAAAAATAGTAGACAGAAAAATCATTATTTGGAAAGCTTTACAGCAATAATTGTTCAAGGCAGTGGCTATCTATCAATTGAGCCTAAAAAAGTATGATACAGTGTGATAAGAAACAGTATTTGCAGGTAGAGAGTTGGCTTAATGGATAAGAGCACTGACTGCCCTTCTATAGGACCCAGGTTCAGTTCCCAGCACCCATGTACCTGCTCATAATGACCTGTAACTCCAGTTCCAAGGGATCTGACACCCTCTTCTGATGTCTGGGAATCAGGCACACATGGTGCACACAGCATACATGCAGGCAAAACACTCATTACCTGTAAAATAGGATATATGAATTTAAAATAGAAACTGTATTTTCAAATTCCATAAATTCCTGAGAGTGTCTCCCTACAAGATACTGAATTCAAAGGCGGGGGATCATTACAACAGTGAAACCAGTAGTCTTAACAAATGATCAAAGTTAACATCATTAATAATGAGATGTATTTGCTTTCAGTATCTATTGATGTAGTACAATAAAAAGGGTACTATATTGCTTTTCATATTCTTAGCAAAACAGCTTTATACTAGGGATACATAGTCAACAGAATAACTGTACAGTACTTCAACAATGATGTCACCATGTGAAAGACACAAAGAGACTTTTCCAGATTGGAGAAGACATGACAAATACATTGTAGGGTCCTGGACCAGAGAAATTACATAAAAGGAATAGTTGGTAAAAATTTAAATGGGATTGTTAGTTACTACTTAACACTGTTGCTATTAGTGTTTATTTTTTGACAATTGGTTGTGATTGTTCTGTTTTTACAACTTATTTGTAAGTCTGAAATCTTTTTCAAAATGAAACATTAGAAAAGATGAAGTTCTTGGCCGGGCGGTGGTGGCGCACGCCTTTAATCCAAGCACTCGGGAGGCAGAGGCAGGCGGATCTCTGTGAGTTCGAGGCCAGGCTGGACTGACAGCCTCAAAAACAATACAAAGAAACCCTGTCTCGTAAAACCAAAAAAAAAAAAAAAAAGATGAAATTCTCTCTCCAAAACTACTAGAAATTGAAGAAATGAAGACTAATTTTAGCAAGAAATAAACTAGGAAAGTGGCTGTTGAGTAGGCAACTGAAAATGTTACAGTTTGTCACCAGCTCTTACAGTAGCCAATAAAGAGTCATTACGAATGCTGCTCCTGGAGTGTCATACTCCTTATGGCACAGATTATGCTTCTGTTGGTTTTAGAATTTCATAAACTGTCTAGCTTTTTAATATACTTTAATAATAATGGTATAGCCTTATATGTATTCATTGTATATATAATGAATTACATTTGTTACCTCAAAAATTTTACATGTAAGTTCTCCCTAGGATACAGATTTACTCAAAAGTCAAATGATGAATGAGACAGAATGAGACAGAAACTATAATTATTTTCTTAACAGGTAAAATTCATTTCTGTATCCACTTAAAATATAATGGAAATATCTGTTTTATTTAAGAATAAATAGATGTTTCTTCAATTTGACAATTTTTTTGAGTTATGTGAGTTTTAACATTTGTGTTGATGCGCTTTATAAACATTGTCAATGAGGTCTGAAATTTGAATTATGCAGTCTTAGACTTGGTCTAGATTTGCTTATTGTAAACATACTTTTTTTTTATACAAGTATTACTGCTTGCCCATAACTAAACAGCCACATAAAAATGCTTCTTGGGTATGTAAATTAGTGTTGACTCTGAGTTCCTCAAATTCCTGTAATATTTCTGAATATTAAAGAATGGAAACACAGCTGGCTACTCATTAGATGGTAACAATGTTTTACTTTGATTTATAGCTCCCAGTCATTTGGTCTTCTTAGCACCTTTTTTAATGTCTGTGGACTTTAGGTAGATTGAGGTATGATGGTTTAGAAGCGCAAATAAGTAGCTGAAGTCCCTAGTAACCAGAAAACTAAAGGGTAGTTATTTTGCCATATGCAAAGTAAGCTAGTTTCTTGCGTAGTGGGACAAGTAATTTGTGTTTATCTACCTTATATCTGTATCTGTTCCATAACAAAAGAAATAATTGTCATAATGGCCAATTAGTCAATCTGATAATCTTAGAAATCTACCATTACTTAATGAAAAAAACCCTTTTTTTTTTTACTAAGAAGGAAACAATAAGCATAGTGTCTACCCTAATCAGCCATTTGGCCTTTTTTTTTTCTTTTGTGTACATATATGTATGCACATGTGTATGGAGGCCAGAGGCCAATGTTTGGTGTTTCATTTGCTTTTCTCTGTAGTTTTAGATAGGGTCTCACTGATTTTGCTAGGCTGGCTCTACCTGAAGTGCTGTGTTTGCAGGTGCAAGCTGCCTTGATTGCTGGGGATGAGAGCAAGCACTTTGCTGTCTGAACGATCTCCCCAGCAGTCTGTTTTATTTTTGTTTTTATTATTATTTATTTATTTATTTATTTTGTTTTTCGAGTCAGGGTTGCTCTGTGAGCCCTGGCTGTGCTGGAACTCATTCTGTAGACCAGCCTGGCCTCGAACTCAGAGAGATCTGCCTGCCTTTGCCTTCTGAGTGCTGGGATTAAAGGCGTGGGCCACCAACGCCCAGCTAGTCTTTTTAAATTTTAAGACCAATCTTTGGAATTGTAATGTCTGAACTATCCTTTTAATTTTTTGTGGAATTATATTTTATTTCTTAACTTTAGAGATGCACAAAGACTAGAAGAATTCTTCACCAAAAATCAACAGCTGAGAGACCAACAGAAAGTGCTTCAGGAAACCATTAAAATTTTAGAAGATAGGTAAGTTTGGTACTTGAGTAAGAAATGATTTTCCTTTCAATGGGAGTTCATTGGGTTCACTTTTAGTTATTTCTGGGATTGGAAGTGATGTTCTTTTCCCTCTTAGCCTTATGTCATCGTTGAATAAGTCCTCTCTGACACTGAGAGTATACTCCCAGGTTTTGTATATTTTTCCCCATTATTTTTAGCAATCATAACTTAACCTATAAATATTGTCTTTAATGTTAAAATATAAGGGGAACTTAAGTGTATCAATGTTTTAATCATTCAATGCTTACATTTCTTTTTGTTTCCAAGTATATGGAGACTAATAAATCCTATTTCTGCCATCTTTTCCACTCTGATTATTTTTTATATACTTTTTTCACTTCCCACCTCTATAGGGCTTCTTCTTTGTGACTGTTCCTCAGATAACATAATCAGACTTCATTCACAGACCTTTTCTTTCATCTTTTTTTTAAGTGGTAGAATAATTTATTTATTTGGTGTGCATTTGTGTGTGCCTTGATGTGTGTGGAGGTCAGAGAACAGCTGTGAGGTTCCACAAATCAAATGCATGTTATCTTACTTGGCAGTAAGAGCCTTTATCTGCTGTATCATCTTAGCATCCCACAATAATCTAGTATTCTGCACATATGCAAACCAAAGGTGAGTACCACCTCTAACTGCTGACTTTAAGGATATCCATTTACTTGAATAGTTAATAGTGTGTGGAAAAGATCTACATGCTTTGGGATCACATATATGTATCCTAATTCTAACTTCACAGTGTATCTTTAAGATTTAGTAATAAGTATTTCTGTTCTTATTATACATTACATGTTGCTTTAGGACTTTAATTAATACCCTTCTTAGTATATCATGGACCTTATATTCAATTGTCAAATTCTGGAAGTAACTCATACAACCAACAATAAGAGAATTTTATATACAAAGTGCTATGAAGAAAATGTAGTTAAATGGTATATTTGAGTGACTATAGGAAGAGGATACTTAAGATTTTCAAAGGGTGACCTTTCTGAGGCAGTGCTACTGAGATAAAACTTGAATGAAATGACTGTGGGGGAGACAGCTTCAGAATATGGGTTTTCTTTATTTGTTTTGCGTGAACTGGTTCCATACAACTGACTCTCCATTTCTTCCTCATTCTTTATCTAAGTCCTTGAAGATCCTGTTTTCAATGTCTTTAAGTGTGCGTGCGTGCGTGCGTGCGTGTGCGTGTGTGTGTGTGTGTGTGTGTGTGACTTTGTAGTTTAATTGGTCTTCCAGTTTAGTTAGCTTTTATATCTTTTACTTTTTTTCTTCTCATTGGTGTTTTTGAAACAGAGTCCCACTATGTAAACTCTGGCTGTCTTGGAGCTCACTATATAGACCATGCCAGTTTCGAACTCAAAGAACTCTGCCTCCTAAGTTTTGGTATTAAAAGGTGTGTGCCACTATATCCCACTTGCTTTCTTTAATGAGTTTTCCTATTCCACACTCTTTTTGAGAAGTGTAAATATAGCTACCTCCCATGGAAGTGTTTTCTAAGCTATTTTCCTTATTCAATTAAGATTTAAAATGTCTAGATATTCTATATTTCTTTAGAACTAGACTACTTACAAGCTGTCTAACCTCAGACCATTCTGGTCTTTAATTTCATGTAAGCCATGCTTCATTGCTATTTTTCAGTTAAAATGTTGCCTGCCTGCCTTTTTGTCTGTGAGACAGGTATATTTCAGGCTGTCTTCAAACTCCTCAACCTTCTCAGTGCTTGTATTATAGTCTTCTTGTTATTTGTGCCCGTGTCCTGGTTCATTTGAAGTGAGAGTCTATATGTACCGAGGATTGACTTTATATTCAGGCATCTTAGCAGTTAGTTTTCACATTAATACCATAAGACATGTGATAGGTCTATTTTCCATGTAAGAAAACAGCTGGCAAAGAAGGGAGAGGCTTTTCTAGGATCTTATAGTTAATACATAATTAGATCAAATCTGAAGCTTTCCTTATTGCCCATAGTTCCTGTGGTTTTGTGATACTTTGTAGGTCTTAATGAATGTGAATATAAATTAGTTACATGTCAGAGTATTTATACTTGACCTGCATTACCAAAATTGATGTTCTGAAATGTTAAATCTTCAACACTGCCTATTATGTAGCCTTTTCTTTTTAGAAGGTTTTTTTTAAATCTTTAAATGTACTTCTAGTAGAGTTTTACCTTTAAAATTTACTTTATTTCCATATCACATATAAGAATGATATGTAGAGCAAGTTAGTAATTTTTCATTATGCTTTCGTATGTCTGCTTGTACGTATGCACACATGCATGAGAGTGCCTATGAAGGTCAGGGAAGGCATCAGATCTCCTGGAAATGGAAACAGGCAGTTGTGAGCTGCCTGATGTGGCTGTAAGGAACTAAACTCTAGTCCTCTGCAAGAGCCACAGATGTTTTTAACCACTGCTACCTTTTTAGCTTCCTAGAACAAACTTTTTTTTTTTTTTTTTTTTTTTTGGTTTTTACAAGACAGGGTTTCTCTGTTTTGGAGATCCGCCTGCCTCTGCCTCCCGAGTGCTGGGATTAAAGGCGTGTGCCACCACCGCCCGGCTCCTAGAACAAACTTTAAAGTATAAAAGTTGATATTTTGTTGAGAGTAATAAAAAGTAACATCTATTTTGTGAAAATTTGTTTTCTTTTTTTTTTCCCCTCTTCAAGACAAAGTCTTATATGTATTACAGACTGTCCTGGAACTTGCTATATAGCTGATGGCTTTGAACTTCTGATCCTCCTATCTCTACCTCCCAATTTGTGTGGTACTGGGGATTGATCTAGTGGTGATGTTCCACTAAGTGACCTTTGTGAACATTTCTTTTTTTCTTTTTTCTTTTCTTTTTTTTTTTGGTTTTTCGAGACAGGGTTTCTCTGTATTGTTTTGGAGGCTATCCTGGAACTAGCTCTGTAGACCAGGCTGGTCTCGAATTCACAGAGATCCGCCTGCCTCTGCCTCCCGAGTGCTGGGATTAAAAGCGTGAGCCACCAACGCCCGGCCTTTGTGAACATTTCTAAGCATTAGTTTTGATGCATACTATATCTTAAGATGGATGATTTTTCATTCCTTTTTAAAACTACATTAGTCACCAGTTCATAAGGAGTGCAGTGCCTTCCATACTGACGCCTCACAAGTGCTGGAAAGGCATTCACTGCCACTCCAGCCATTTGTGTGTTCTTCCTAGTTCTACTTTCATTTCAGGGTTCTGTTTTGTTTTTATCTTTTCTTATCTCTGGGGTAGTTACAGTTTAGGAGATGGTGGTTGCTTTTCTTTTCCCTTTTTATCTTTCTTTACATAGTTTATATTTCTCCTAATCTCCTCCCCATCCCCCCACCCCCGTCTCCTGTTACTTTTTGTTTTATTTTGTTTTTTTTTTTTTTTCCAATACAGGATTTTTCTGTGTAGCCCTGGAACTCGCTCTGTACCCCAGGCTGGCATTGAACTCAGAGATTCACCTGCCTCTGCCTCCCAAGTGCTGGGATTAAAGGCGTGGTCCATGTCGGCCCAGTTTCTGTTCCTCTATTTAGTGTCCTGTTTTGTCTCTTCCTAAGCTTTTAAAAAATGTTATAACATTCATTTTTTTATTTTGTGAGGTGTCATGGGTATATGTGTGTCACAGCATATGTGTGGGGGTAAGATAACACTTTGCATCAGTTACTCCTCTCCTTCTACAGTGTAGGTCTGGGAGACTGAGCTTAGCTTGTCAGGCTTGGCATTACAAGTCTTAACCCACTGAGCTATGTCGAACAGCACTGCTTTGCAAGCTTTCTCATTATCTGATGAACTTGCTTGTCTTCACATGGTGCACAGTCTGTTGGAGGCTCTGAGTAGCTGTATTTAGGAGCTTTACTGTAGCATGGTCTGGCTACAGTAGCAAGTTCCTTAATGTTGTCAATGCCTTTAGGTCTTAGATGCTCAGATTTTAGAGAAGACTTCTTCCTCGAATGTGTTTACATTTATTCTTTGTTGTATATACTTGTGTGCCTACATGTGTGTATAGATAGAAACATACCCATGCCAAGTATGGAAGATTGTGACACTTGGCTTTCTCCTTCCCAGCATCCATGTGAGACAAGTTAGATTTAGAGGTACTTCAAATTTTAGACTTTTAGCTCTAAAATTAAGGCCACAGCTACGGTATAGAAAGCACGAGAAAGGGACGAGAGGGGAACTATGACAGAAATCCAGGTAAGGGTGGTCTTAAGGACAAGAACTCAGCAAGGTGGCGACACAGGAGGTCTCAGACAGTCCCTGCTCTTTTGTGCAAATGTCAGTGTATAACTTATTCCCTGGGATCTGGAGTCTATGAATAACATCAGTTCCCTTATTCACTGCCTCCTCAGATGGGTGAAAAACAAAACATCTACCTACCTCCTTTCAGTTTGTTTCATAACATTAAATGTAGCAGTCTTGAAAAATACACATAGTCTAGGAAAAAGGTGATCATCAATATAAAATATTTATTGTTTTAAAAAAATTTTAGACTTTTAAAAAATACTTTTTTTTTAGACTTTGGATTATCTGCAAGTACTACAAAAGCCAAATCTGAAATACCGGAGTCCGAAATATGTGAAGAAAGGGTATTCATTCTGTATAAAGACAAATGTGTTAGTGGATGAAAAGCTGTCTAAGGACATGTATGTTAGTGGATGAAGAGCTGTCCAAGGACATATGTGTTAGTGGATGAAAAACTGTCTAAGGACATATGTGTTAGTGGATGAAGAGCTGTCTAAGGACATGTGTGTTAGTGGATGAAGAGCTGTCTAAGGACATGTGTGTTAGTGGATGAAGAGCTGTCTAAGGACATGTGTGTTAGTGGATGAAAAACTGTCTAAGGACATGTGTGTTAGTGGATGAAGAGCTGTCTAAGGACATGTGTGTTAGTGGATGAAGAGTATCTCGTTTCCGTTCACAGGTTGAGAGCAGGGTTGTGTGACCGCTGTGCAGTGACTGAAGAGCATATGCACAAAAAGCAGCAGGAGTTTGAAAATATCCGCCAGCAGAATCTGAAGCTTATTACAGAGCTCAGTGAGTTCCCTTTCATTTTTACCAAGTTCCTACAGTATGCTGTCCTGGTATTAAAACTTATGAGGGAATTGGCTGTAATTATATTAATTATTTACATTTTTAAAACTTTAGTTTTTCATTTTAGATGTCTTTTATAGATTTAATTTTGTTTTAGTAGGAAATAGGCAAAAAAGTTATATATGCACTGTTTACATTGTCTTTTAAAATCTCACCAAGTTTTAAGACAAGAAGCATATTTCTGGGCAATTCCATATTGCTTTTATCTTGATTGCATGCAGTTTGATGCATATTAAAGTTAAATACACCAATGTAGTATGTTTAAAGGTGTGTACTATTTTGACTTCCATGTATATTATTGAGTATATTATTTTCAGTTTCCTCTTCCCATTCATGTAGTATTTTGTTAAAATCTTAGCTCTTGCTCTAGTAAAGTCATTTTTGACTTTGGTCACCCCTAAAAAAACTGAGTTGTCACATCCTTCTGGTCCTAGATACTGGTCTATTTGTCTCTACTCCTTCTCCATTCGTTCAGATACTCTCCCCTCTCTCCTCCCTTCCCCTCCCCTCCCCTCCTCTCCCTTTCACTCTCTTTCCTTTCTTCTTTTCAAGACAGAGTTTTCCATTGTAGCCCAAGATGGCCTCCTGTGCTTGAGTTTATAATCCTCCTACCTCAGCTTCTTAGGTACTGGAATTATAGACAATATTCTGACGTGCCTGGCTCAAGGTACTCATTTCTTTTAATTATCAGGAATCATCTTGTCCATACTTTGTTTTCATTTTGCTGTATGATGCACTACATAACAACATTTTAGTCTTTCTCTTATTTGTCTCTGAAAAATGCTAGTTGGTAATCCTGTTTTTATTTGGTTTGCTTTTCTGAGATAGGGTCTCATTCTGTAGCTCAGGCTGATCTTGAAGTTATGGCAATCCTCCTGCCTCCGTCTCTCAAGTTCTGGAGTTAATAGATTTGAGCCACCATACCCAGTTTCCTGGTAATCCTAAAACATAATCCTGTCTTAGTTTCTGTTCTTTTTACTATGATAAAATAGTCTAACAAAAGAAACGTAAGGTTAAAGGGCTTATCTTGGGTCATAGTTCAGTCCATCACAGCAGGAAAGTCACAGTGGCAAGAGCTGTAAGTAACTAATCATAATGCACCTGCATTCAGGGATGGAGCACATCGAATGTGTGCAAGCTAGTGCTCAGCTCTTTGTCCATTGCCTGGGGAAGAGTACCACTCACCCCATATAACCAGTATAATTCCTCATAGACATGACAGAGGCCCATCCCAAGGTCATCCTGATATCCTAGTCTAGCACTGAAAGTCCTTCATCGCTGATTATACCCAGTCTTTTTTTTTTTTTTTGTATAGTAATTCTCTATATGAGGTAATCATTTGTTCAGTTCATTTATCTTTCTGTGAATATATGTGGTTTATGTATACATATGTGAATGCAGGTTCATGTCCCTTAAGTGCACATGTGCAGGACAGAGGTCAATCCTCTTTTGCTTTTCACTTTATATTTTGAGATAAGGTCTCCCACTGAACCTAGAGTTTACGGTCTTGGCTAGACTGGCTGGCCAGCAAGCCCTGGGGAATCATCCTGTCTTTGCCCTCCTCCCCCACACTCCTAGTACTAAGGCTGCAGACATTTCCATATTTTTTTTTCCTTTGAGACAGGGTTTCTCTGTGGCTTTAGAGGCTGTCCTGGAACTAGCTCTTGTAGACCAGGCTGGCCTCGAATTCACAAGAGATCCACGTGCACCATCAACACCTAGCCCATACCAGCTTTCTATGTGGATGCTGGGAACATGATCTCAGGGTCTCATGTTTGTACATCGAGCATTTTAACACTGAGCTATCTCTCCAGCCCCCAATTATTTATTCATTTTTCAAAATTAAAAAGCAAAATTTACTGAATAATTCCCTACAAATAGTATATCTTCAAGAAATCAAGTGTTGGCTCATTTTATGAAAGAACCAATCAATGTTTATGAAAAAGCCAGTCTATGTCTAAATAAAAGAAACAAGATTGATAATGGGGAATGGTAAAAATGACATCTGGCATAGTATTTAAGACCAACTGCAAAGGCAAGAATTAAAAGGCTGTTGTCCCATGACTCCCATCTGTATATTGCTAGTATATATGAAAAAAATGTAATGCTACAGAATGACTTCACTTGGATTGGGGTAAGTTTTGCTTCAGATAAAATGAAATCCCCCCCATTATTGAAAAAGGATTTTTTTCTCACATAATATACCCTGATTACAGTTTTCCCTCCCTTCACTTCTCCCAGATCCTCCCCATTCCTCTTCAATTCTGACCCATCCCCATGTCATTAGAAAACAGGCTTCTATGAGATAGTAAAATATAATTACATGAAACATTAACAAAATACAGAAGGAAAAGAGCCCAAGAGAAGTAATAAGAAACAGACCACTTGTCCACACACAGTCTGGAATCCCATAAAAACACTAAACTGGAAGCCATAGTATATATGCAAAGAATCTATTTGCAGGGTAAAATTCAAGAAGAAAATAATATATAAAAATAAATTTTTAAAATTTAATTAAGGAAAAAATAAAAGGAAGAGCCTTGACATGACATTATGAGACAAGGAATCTCCAACAATGCCATTGAGTTAATTTTCTGTTGGCCATCTACTTCTGGGCATGAAGCCTACCCTTAAAGCTTATTTCCCTGTGAGACTGCTTGGAGGAAACTGCATTTTCATTTGCAAGTAGTAATCCATTGGAATTGCTTCTGGGTTAGGGATGGGGGCTTGTGTCTACTTCTTTCAGCTTAGTACTCTATCTTATGCCGACTCATGCAGGCCCTGTGTATCCTGCTTCAGGCTCTGAGTTCATATGTGTATCAGTTAGGTTGACTTAGAGGACCTTGTTTACTTGGTATCCTCTGGCTCTCACACTTTTTTTTTTTCTTCCCTCTTCTAGAGGGTTCTTTGATCCTTTAGGAGAGGAATTTAATGGAGACATCCCATTTAGGGCCAAGTGTTCCAAATTCTCTTACTCTGCATAATATCTGCTGTGGGTTTTTCCATTTGTTCCCATCTGTTGTAAAAGGAAGCTTCTCTATTAATGGCTGAGCAAGACACTGATCTGAGTAAAGCAATATGTTGTTAGGAGTCATTTAATTGTTATGGTTTGCTTGTTTTTGTTTTCTAGGACAGTAGTTTTACCCTAGGTCTCTTGGCTCTCTAGTCTCAGGTTCTTGGTCACCCAGGCAGTGTTGGGTATGGGTTCTGTCTCATGGAATAGGCCTTAAATAAGATAGATCAGTTATTGTTTAGTTACTCCCACAAGCTTTGTGCCACCATTACACTTGTGTCTTGCAGACGGGACAGCATTGTAGATGAAAAGATTTGTGGGTGGCTTGGTGTTTAAGTGTCTCCTTTGGTAGTGTGCAGAATGCCCTCCTTTACCAGAGATGCTAGCATGTAGGGGTGAAGGTTCTGTGTAGGTAGCAGCTCTACTTCTCCATGTTCAGTGAGTTGTGGAGGTGTTTCCTGCAGTAATAGGTTGTAGAGAGAATCCTTTTCCTTGCCAGCCACTTTGGTTTTTCCCCACCAGTCACCTGGGCTCTGCCGCGTTGTAGTCCCCAAATAACACACAAGACACTATATTAATTATGAAGCTGTTGGCCTTGCTTGTTTCTTACTGGCTAGCTCTGACTTAAGTATTTATCCCATAATTGCTAATCTAAGTATTTCTCTTACTGGAGAAAAGTTTCCGGGCTTCTTACCCCTATGCGGCTACATCTTGACTCCCTCTGTTTCTTCTACCCAGACTCTTCCTGTCCCACCTATCTTGCTTCCCTATTGGCCAACAGTGCTCTATTGACATATACACAAGACTTCCCCATCAATAGGTCTTGCTGTCAGTTTGTGGAGAGCAATCTGCATAATTGGCAAAAGCCAGGATTGCTTTGGGGTTCCCATTGGTCAACAACTCAAATGTCACCCAATTCTGGTCCATTTGGGGCTGTGTCTCCTCCATTATTTGGCAGTCCCATTTCAATTACCTTCATGTATGTATATATTTTAGGAGGCTTCTTCTGTTTCCATACTACCCTTCAAAGGACCCTTTATTTTAGCTGTCTTTCACTGCATTCTCTTCCCTCTCCACTTGATCCTCCTGCTCCAGTCCTAACCCCCAATCCATCCATAACTACCTATTCTGCTTCCCAGGAAGATCTGTCTGTCCCCATAGTCCCTTAGTCTATACCTAACCTGTGTGTTTCTAGCGATTGTAGCTTGATTATTATTTTAAACTTAATGGCTCATATACACAGACAAACAAATACATACCATATCTGTCTTTCTGGGTCTGGGATTCTTCACTTGGGATGATTTTTGTTTGTTTGTTTTCATCTATTTACTTGTAAATTCCATGATTTCGTTTTTGGTTTTAGTTTTCTTTGTTTTTGTTTTTTTTTTTAAAGATGAGTAATATTCCATTGTGTAAATGTATACATTTTCCCAATTTATTTTTTAGGTTACTGCCCATATCTTACTTTTTTTTTTTAAGTTCCAGATTCTCCTCAGAAGGTCATTTCCTCATTGTAAGAAAATACATTTAGATTTATAAGCTGCTACCATCCTAATAAATTTCTAGAATATGATCAGCCTTTATTGGTGGAGGCTATTTTGTTATAACATTTCTTAGATCTAGTCTTCCTAGTTCAGCAATGCTTGCTTAGCCCATAGTAACAAAGAAATCCCTGATAAGAACCTCCAGTGGACATTACATTCTGTAGTTATTTTTATGCTTTATAAATTAAATAGGGATGGGAAGATTTAGTAAAGACATATTCCAACAGGTATAACTTATAGTGGGATATATTTAAATTATTCTTGAGTAGGTCTGAAAGTATTTTATTAATAGTAAGGTTTATAATTTTTAATGCTGATTATCATTAAACACTAGGAAACATTATTTTTGTAATTAAATTTATTTCAATGTAACTTGTAATAGTTCAAAACATAATATTTGAAAATAGTACTAAATAACCCAGATGGAATTCTTTCTTGTCCTCAATGTGAATAGATAGTACTCTTTAATATTCTTTTTGCACACAAGCATTATATAAAACTATCAGTTAATCAGTTACATACAATTCACACAATATGAAATGCAGAAGCAAGCTAGTTTTGCACAGTAGCACTAACTAACCTTGTGTAACATTATAATTTAGGATTAGGAATCCTCATTTCTGGCCAGTGTCATGCCTCACATCCTAGCAATGAGACACAACAATTTTTTATTTTTCCTCTCTCCCTCTCCCTCTCTCTCTCTCCCTCCCTCCCTCCCTCCCTCCCTCCCTCCCTCCCTCCCTCCCTCCCTCCCTCCCTCCCTCTTTCTCTCTCTTTCTCTCTCTCTCCCTCCCTCCCTCCCTCCCTCCCTCCCTCTCTCTTTCTCTCTCTCTTTCTCTCTCTCTCCCTCCCTCCCTCCCTCCCTCCCTCTCTCTTTCTCTCTTTCTCTCTCTCTCTCTCTCTCTCTCCCTCTCCCTCTCTCTGTCTCTCTCTCTTTCTCTTTCTCTCTCTCTCTCTTTCTTTCTTTCTTCTATTCTGGCCTATCTATACACTGAGTTCCAAAAACAGCCTGGGCCATAGAGTGTAACCTTGTCTCAAAAAAAGGAAAGGAATAAAATCCCAATTTCTATATAAATATTGACATTTTAAGAGCCTGACATGTATATATGGATATACGCTTTCTCTTCCTTGTTGTTTTTAAGTGAATGAAAAGAATACTCTTCAGGAAGAAAACAAAAAGCTTTCTGAGCAACTGCAGCAGAAAATTGAGTAAGTATTCTCTGAACAGCATAAAGAACACTCTCCTACTTTTCTTTCTTTTATTATACTTAGGTGTACAAACTGAAGGTATAGTCTCACAAGTTTCATTTTTTTTTAAATTATGAAATGCTCTACAATAAGAAATAAAAAGAGAATCACTGCATTTTGTTTATGTTTTAGGGGAATATCTATCAACACCTTCAAACATTTAAATCTTCAAATAGTTGGGCAGTAACTTGTTCTTCTCAACTTGTTTTCCTTTTGGTTAGCAGTTTTAAAACAACAGCAAGTATCATCTTAACAAAGGCAACAATTATTTGCTCAGGCTGCCAATATAACTCAGTGTCATGCTGTGACTACCTGAATTCCTCCGAATTTTAGAAAATACTGACTTAATTCTTCTAACTTGCTTGAGCTGGATTTGACATTACAGATTTCTATGTGGCAAGATAATTAAGTAAAACTGCAGTAAGAAATTATTCAGTAGAAAAGAAGAGCCATCTCTGTAATTCACAGAAAGCAAGTAATTAAATAAGTTGGATCTTGAGGTCATTGCCTTCTTTGATTAAAGACATCTACACAGAATTTCAAAGGATTCATTTTATTGTATGATGTCTTCAACCATTGTTTGAATGGTTTTGATGCAAGTTCACTTTTTCCCAAGAGTATATTTTAGCAAGATGAAATTTTTGAAGTATTTGCTAATAAGTATTTAGAATTACACTGTTGATCCCAGCTTCACCTTCTAGGATCATCTGGAACATGACTCTTCTTGTTTTCCTGGCCTCACTTTTGATACTTGGAAACTACTGTCTGGCTCACCTTATTCTTTCATCTGTTGACTATCCTCCATGAGACTCCTCAGAGTGCCATTTAAGTTTTTACTCAATATAGAGCAGGGCTGCCAACTCCTCATCTTTATTTCTTTTTACTTATGTAAGTTTGGCCAATATTAAGTGAAAACAAACATACGTAGTAGTTTATCTTTTCCCTGCCCTCTGCTTAAAAATTTGTTCTTTTAAATATAAATGCAGGACTTGAGAGACATGACTTAACAGTTTATTGAAGAAACCTTTTGTCATCTATTGTATACACACACCTTTCTTTTGTTCCTTTTTAGGGGGATGGGGGTATTTTCCAGACAGGTTTTCTCTGTGAAACAAGAGTCTTGACTGTCCTGGGACTCTTTTTTTTAAGGTCTTTGTTAATGTTTTGCTCATCTTTTTCACCCCCCCCGTGTGTGTGTGTGTGTGTGTGTGTGTGTGTGTGTGTGTGTGTGTGTGTGTGTGTGTGTGTTTTGATACGGTATCTTCGTGTGTCAAAACAGCTGTGTGTCTAGTTGTTTGTGTGTAGATGTCAGAGGACCACCTCAAGTATTTATTTGTCCTTATCTTATGTTTGAAGCAGGATCTTTTAGTCACTGCTGCTTATACCAGACTAGCTTGCTTGTGAGTTCTTAGGGATTTATCTCTTTTTGCCTCCTATATTATATTAGGAGCATGGGGTTACAAATACATGTACTGTGTTTGGATTCATGTGGGGTCTAGGGGTCCAAACTCAGGTCCTCATATTTGTATTGTAAGCCGTTTACTCTTTGAGCCATCTCCCTAGCTCCTTAGGCTACTTTTTGAAGCAGCTCTTTTGGTTAAATACTTACTTATATTTGAGGAACTAGGTTGTATCTTTCCTCTTTACAAGTCTCCATGAAAAGAAAAGAGGAAAGTACAGAAGCATACCTATTTAACCAATAAGGAAAGTAGAGCTTATTTAGGTTGGGGTGTCTCCCATGTGCTGCTCTTTCCACTGATCCATGTCAGGTTCGTTTTTTTTCTCTTTAGCTTTATGTCTTTCAGAGGTTTAAGTGACTTTTATCAATGCCTTGTATCAAGGTCATTGATAAAATGTTGAACAAAGTATGCCTGGAATTGAAGCCCTGAAGGTTATAATAACTTGTGACTGCTCATACCATGCTTGTGTGTGTCTTTTTTAGTTTATTGTTTACAGTGAAAGAGTATTAAGAGAGTCATTTTCAGATTTCCTAATAGCTAGATACTCAACCATTTCTTAAGAACATTGTCCTAATAACTCTACTTTAAAAAAACTGCCATTAGATTATTTATATTATAAATTACTTCTGTGATAAACTTATTGGTCCTAAAGGATTAAGGTATCAGATTATTTATACTTTAAGAATTAATTGAAGGATTACTTGTACTTTTAGTGTTTGTACTTTGATTGAAAATGAGACTTTTTCAATAACATTGCTTTAGTGAGTTTAAATTGTTTTAACTGGAGATATAAATTCTTCAAAATAGTGAAGGAAAAAGCTATTTTTGTTTTTTGTTTTGTTTTTTGTTTTTCAAGACAGGTTTCTCTGTGGCTTTGGAGGCTGTCCTGGAACTAGCTTTGTAGATCAGGCTGGCCTCGAACTCACAGAGATCCGCCTGCCTCTGCCTCTGCCTCCCAAGTGCTGCGATTAAAGGCGTGCGTCACCAATGCCCAGCTCGAAAAGCTAAATTTTAAAAACTTTTAAACTGAATTCCTTATGAAGAGAAACCCTGGCTCCTCATAGATCATTGAGAAAACAGTTTTGATGGGAGTTTTAAAAGCTGGACTACAAATAAAACAGCAAACACTCTGACATCATCAGAATGAAAAGCTAAAGGAAGTGGCAGGTGCATAATTAAACAAAATCAAGTCAGGAACTCTTTTTCTCAGAAAATCAGGATGGAACCTAATGTTTTAAATAATTAAATTAGATAAAACAAAAATTATATTTCCTCTGGTACCTGCCTTTTCTGACCAAAAAGGGTAAGAATTTATACTTGTTTACTTAGCCAGACACTGCTAGATAGAGCTGTGTTTTTATTTGTTTGTTTTGTCTTTTTTTTTTTTTTTTTGGTCTGTTTTGCAATTCCCAGCCCCTTGTAAATAGACCCTGCTAGGATGGAATTTTCTTCTGTGACTCATTTGTTTCAGGTTGAAATTTTGTGGCAAATAAGAATGCAGACAGTGATAGTATTAGTTCAAGCTAGGTCACCTAAGTTTTACACCATTAATTTACAAGGCTTTCCTCATATAACTTTTGTTTTTACAGAATAAGAGTACTATTAAGTTACTAAAAATTATATGTTAAATATGTTGCACAGAGTAGTGACTAAAACATTAACACAGTATTTAAAGTTTGGTACAAATGTAGGTTTTAAATGTTTTACTTTATAAAATGGGTTTACAGAGTGAATTTACTAGTTAACTTGATTCCACAGTGTCAACATATCAAAACATGATATACACATATATGTGTACCTGGGTGTATATACACACAAACATTTTTATGAACTCGAAAAACATTTAATTTGATATTATCTTTAAGGTTGTCCTTTATTATATGCTATGGATTTATAGATAATTTATTCAGGAAATTAAAGTATAAATATTTGTGAGGAAACATTTGTCTTTGTCCTAGATTTATTTTTATTTTGTTTTTAAAAATTTATTATTTGCGCGCGCGCGCGTGTGTGTGTGTGTGTGTGCGCGTGTGTGCGTGTCTGTCTGTCTGTCTGTCTGTGTGTCTGTGTGTGTGTACTCGCCATGGTATACCTATGGAGGTTAGAGGACAGCTTTGTGCGTGTGTGTGTGTGTGTGTATGTGTGTGTGTGTGTGTGTGTGTGTGTACTCGCCATGGTATACCTATGGAGGTTAGAGGACAGCTTTGTGCATGCGTGTGTGTGTGTGTGTGTGTGTGTGTGTGTCTGTCTGTCTGTCTGTCTGTCTGTCTGTCTGTCTGTGTGTACTCGCCATGGTATACCTATGGAGGTTAGAGGACAGCTTTGTGCTGTCATTTCTCACCTCCCATCTTTACATGTGTTCTGGGGATCACACTCTAGGTTGGCAGTTCTTAAAACATGCACCTTTACCTACCAAATTATTTGGTCAGCCTTTTGTTGGTCTCTGCTAATCATAGCTTATAAAATTCTTAAGTAATTCTTTGAAGTCATGTGACAGATTAGTTTTCAAATAGTATAACTGGTTTGGTCTTGAAAAATTAAATGGCTGACAGAATAGTACTATTGATCTAATAAGATCAACAGTGGTTTGGCATAGGTCCAATCCAAACCCAATTTTTCCAGGTGTCATTGGTCCTGAATCGAGTTAGGCAAGAACAGTTACAGAGATCAGCACAAATTTATTTCTTCATTGAAACCTGAAAATGTCTCACAGTTATTCACTCAATAAACTTACTCTTTTAGACACTTGTGATTCATCAGTTCCAAAGGTCTTTGCCCTTTTAGATGTTGTATTATAGTAGGTAATCAATAAATATCCTAAGTTACATACTCTGTTAGACAGCATTTCTACAATAGATAAAGTAAATAGAACAGAGGAACTAGAAAGACACTAAGTTACAGGAAAGAGTTGCAATTTTAACATTAAAATTTTAGCACAGGCCAGCCAGGGGTGGTGGTGCATGCCTTTAATCCCAGCACTTGGGAGGCAGAGGCAGGAGGGTCTCTGTGAGTTCAAGGTCAGCCTGGTGTACAGAGGGTGTTCCAGGACAGCCTCCAAAACAATATAGAGAAACCCTGTCTTGAAAAACCAAAAAAAAATTTTTTTAGCACAGTGAAGTGTACCTATAATCCCAGCACTCAAGAGGCTGAGGCAAGAGGATAGCACATTTGAGACCAGCTTGAGTTCTACCTCATAAAAATATGGTAGTGATGAATGAAATTTCTGTGAAGGCATAAAGGATACGCGTGTCCGTGTGGGCAGGGGAACTCCAAACAGATGGATAGCTAGAGCAGTGAGCCTAAGACAGGAGTATGCTTAGCATGACTGGGGACTTCAGGCTTGTATTCTCATGGAAAGATGTGCAGGGCTTTGATCAGATCTAGTTGATTAACTTCAGTTTTAATGGGACTGTTGTGACTGCTGTGTTGGGAGATGGGAGTAAGCAGAGCTTGATAGAAGCATGGACACATGTCTATTGTGGTTGGTCTTTAGACTCCTCATCTATACTAAGAATAACTTACCACAGGGCTAATAATATGAGCCTCCAGAGTGTATGCTAAATTTAAATCCTAGCTCCTTTACTATGGAAATAAGTGACTTTATTTCCATTTCTTTATTTCCTAATTGAAAATAAGAGTAATAAAATTTCACACAGTTGTAATAGTAATTAAAGGTATACATAAAGCACATTGGATACTTCCTGGAAATATAAATATACAACAAAAGTTGCAAGTTAACATGTCAGCATTATCATCCTGTGTATCATTTGATTCTACTACCACATCTTTTAACATTGGTCATTTGTTTTCTATACATAAATGTCGTAGTTCAAACCAGAATCTTGCCTGTTCTTTTACAGCTACTGTCTAATTGACTTCTCTCCTTTCTTCCTATTCCAATTATTTTTGCATGCTGTTGTTAAATTATCACACTCCTTTTATACTCTGAAACCTTAATTCTTTTTTTCTTCAATTGTGGACACATTCATTCAGGGTGTCCTATAATTCCAGTGTACCGTTATGCAACACAATACACTTTTGTATACCTTTCCTTAAGCTGTGTGAATTCTTTGCAATTCAAAATGCCTTTAATGTTACCCCAGATGCTGCAGTCTGTACTTTCTACTTCAACTCCAAATGTTTCAAATAGTTTAGTTTAAGAGTTCTAATATTCTCTACCTTGTACTAACTTATCTGCATACTTTTCTAGTCTCTGAGTTTGAAACACTAGATGCAAGGGACAGCAGCTCTCATGTCTTTGTGTTTCTATTCTATAGTTACACATATGTTTTAATAAGTATTTACAGAATCCATTCTCTTTCAATTTGTCATTTTGCTCTAGAAATGATCAACAGGATCAAGTAGCTGAGCTGGAATGTGAGGAAAACATTATTCCAGATTCACCGATAACATCGTTTTCATTTTCTGGTATTAACCGGCTACGAAGAAAGGAGAATCTCCATGTCCGATACATAGAACAAACACATACTAAATTGGAGCACTCTGTATCTATAAATGGTAAGGGTCAGAGCTGTGTTTTAGTTAGCTGGTTTGGTAGAAGGAAGATAGACGTTGTTCAGATAATCAAGGTATCATTGTGTATTTAACTTCTATTAGTAAAACGACTAATATATTTTTTCTGCTGGCATTATATACAGATGTGAGCAATAGTTCATCTGAATATGTATGAATGATTGTGTGTGTGTGTGTGTGTGTGTGTGTGTGTGTGTGTGTGTGTGTGTGTGTCTGGATATATATACATGCTGGGAGCCCACAGAGGTCAGAATAAGAGTGTTGGATCCCCTGAAACTAGAATTGCGGGAGGTAGTGAGCTGCCTGCCATGAGGTGCAGGAACCCAACCCAGAAATTGCAAAAGCAGCAAATGCTCTTAACTGTTGATCCATCTCTCCAGCCCTCTGCATGGAATTTTTTATGTATATATTTTATTGATCCTATTTCTTTCTTTTTGAGACCTACTGTCTGTACCCTTTATTGTCCTAGAACTCACTTACGTAGATCAGCTGCCTCTACCTCTGGAGTGCTAGGATTGAAGGCATGTGCTACTGTGCCTGGATTAATGCACCCTCTTGTTTGTTCTTGTTTTTGTTTCTGAAGTAGGGTTTCTCTGTGTAGCCCTGGCTATCCTGGAACTTGCTCTGTAGATCATGTTTCCGTAGTAGGGTTTCTCTGTGTAGCCCTGGCTATCCTGGAATTGCTCTGTAGACCAGGCTGGCCTCAAACTCAGATCCACCTGACTCTGCTTCCCAGGTGCTGGAATTAAAGGTATGCTCCACCATGCCTGACTTGTGGAAACTATTTCTAATTCCATCCCGTTTACTATTTCAGCCAAATGCTTCAAAAACTAGTTTTTCAAATGGTCTTATACTTGTAGCTTACATGATATAACACTGTGATTGTTTATTAGTGCCTGTATAAAGTTAAGAACAAAGACTAATTTTTAGCCCAAAATATTCAAAATGTTTTGGAAAAGGAGGTTTACAAAGTTATAAAAATATTTATATAAAGTAAATACATTGTTGGTAGTTATGCTTTTAAAAAGTAAGTAGATCTATATGGCTGGAGATGTTGCTTAGCAGTTAAGAGAAATAGCTGCCCTTTTCAGAGGACCCAGATTCAATTCCTAACAAGCACATAGCATAACACAACCATCTTTAACTCCAATTCCATGAAACCTGATGCCCTTTCCTGGTACCCATATATATAAAGTAAAAATTAGTAAATGTAGGATCCTAGAGAGATGACTTAGTAGTTAAGAGTACTTGTTTCCAGCACCCACCTAGTAGCTTACACCCATCCATAACTCTAGTTCTGAGGATCTGATTCTGACATCTGTGGGCACATGGTATAAACAGGTATATGCAGGCAAGACGTGTGTGTGTGTGTGTGTGTGTGTGTGTGTGTGTGTGTGTGTGTGTGTGTGTGCGTGCGTGCGTGCGTGCACGTGTGTAAAATTAAAAATTTAATTAGACCTTTATTCTTTGAAAGTATAAATAGGTCTTATTACACTTACAGTGAGAGTAAAATGTAATAATCTTATGAGGAGACAAAAGGGAAACTAGAATAGAATTTAGTGGGAAGATGATGAGAGGACAGGACAAAGGAGGACTGTGGGAAAGGACAACACTAAAGGCCTTTTGAAAACCACATAGAAACCCACTACTGTAGAAGTTTCCTAAAGTATATACTATGTGAAAGGGATTTAAATGGAGCCACCAGCTAACGGGGGAGACAACACCCCAACTAGTCATCTCAAGCCACCAAGTAAAACTTCCAGTGCCAGGAATCGGTTGAATTGTTGCCTAAAAGGACTTCATAGATCATCATCTCACAAACATCACAAGTTATTCCAAGGCTATTGGTTATTCTCCATAACCCTGATGGTAAGACCTGATTGCTGAAGACACCACTTATGTCATTGATCATGGGGAAATTGAGATGGTACCCAAGTAGCATTCATGTTTCTGGAAAGTTTTATGAATTAAAAGAGGAGAAAAGCAATCAGTTTCACTCAGCCACAGCAAACACTTACCTAGGAAATAGTGGTGTCAGTGTCATGGGAGTATCATGACTGTTTGATTGGTCACGAGATGGAACATCTAGCTGATGCTGTACTGTGTCCAGCAACCTGAAACTAGATAAGTCATGGACCTAGGGGAAAACTTACTATTGTTATTCTGCTAAAGGAACATAGCAGTAAAATTATTCCTACTGACATGTTGCTCTACCCATAGAGCAGAGCATTGTTCTGCTTTTTGCAGTAGATGGTAATTGACAAAGAGATGTACATCTGAAAATATACAGAGAATAAAAGACTTTGATGCCAGGAGACAGCTTCTTCCAGACACACAGGAGCTCACAGAGACTGAGACAGCACACACCCAGGACCTTCAGAGGTTTAAACCAGACAAAATTCCAGCACTGAAAATGGGAAGTAGACACGGAGTTCTAACCGCAGCTAAGAAGCTGTTTGCAGCTGATAACCTGCTGGGAGAGGAAAAACCAGTTTTCTTGAATGGAGTATCACTAGGTTTATCAACCACACTCCAGGCATGTCTCATGTCCAGTAGTTAGTTAGCCAACACAAAACGGGCTCTCCCTCTTTGTGTGTGTGTGTGTGTACGAAAAATTTTAATAAAAATTAAAATTAAAAAAAAAGTTAGTTGTATCAGCCGGGCGGTGGTGGCGCACGCCTTTAATCCCAGCACTCAGGAGGCAGAGGCAGGCGGATCTCTGTGAGTTCGAGGCCGGGCTGGACCGATAGCCTCCGAAACAATACAGAGAAACCCTGTCTCGTTTAAAAAAAAATTAGTTGTATCTTTGAAAAATGTTAAGGCTTGGAATTGAATTTTTCTCTATTTTGTGAGTTTTTGTCACCCTCTAGTGGAAAACTAAAGAAATGTTTTTAAATCCCTCATCTAATTGGAGTTTATTTTAATATAATACCCTATATCTTAAATGAACATTTATTGATCTTTAAGTTTGGGCAGGATATGAATCATGATACACAATTATCTGTATAATTTAGATCATGATTAAATCTATTCATATGAATGTGTAGAAAACAACTGTAGTGATTTTCTTGGTAGTCATTTGTATCATAAAGTCTTCTTATTTCCTAATTGTAGAAAACAAGCATATAAATACTTTAAAATACAATCTTATTCTATTAATTTTTACTTAGAAAGCAAAAATAATTTTAAATGATTTAATGACTTAATTAGTGCTACTCTCTTGATCATATTTACTTATAAAAGTTTTTTAACACTTTAATTTTCAAGTTATAATTAAAGTACAACTCTATTTGGTTGTCTTTGAACTAAGCATTTAAGCAGTAGAAATATTTTCAATAAAGGATGTTTCAGAGTGTCCTTTCAGGATGTAAAGAAACATGATCCAGGAACGTTTTCAGTAAACTCAGTGCTTTGTCCCAAATAAGGAAAGTGATTGAGTTGATACTCCCTAGGTAACTTAGGCCATAAGAAACTAACCTGTTCAAGTCCCTTCTCTCCTACTGTCCTAGTTTGCAGTTTTGTTTCTTGGTGAAACTATAAAGAATTACGTGCATGTGTCAATATGATTGTGATACATTAAAGGCAAGTTTATATTGACTTATCTGAATAAAGCATGATAGCATCTTTTATCATTGTTTATTGTGTAACCCCCCTTTTTTTTTCATAGAATTAAGAAAAATTTCCAAGGCTTTAGCTCCTGTACCACATAACTCTGAGGAACATGAAATTCTAGTAGCTGACACTTGCAGTCAAAGTCACTCACCACTGTCTAGTAAGTAGATACCGAGGTTATAAGTTTAAGATTGTAATTGCTGGCCGACAAAAATGACTAGCAATCAGAATTAGGCAATATTTTAAAGGTCTGATTTATTGTTGTTTTTGTTTTGGGCCGGTTTGGTTTTTAGTTTAGTTTGTTTTCTGGCTGTCCTGAACCTGCTTGTAGCCCAGGCTGGCCTCAAACTCTGTCTCTGCCTCCAGGGGTGCTAGGATTAAAGGTGTGCACCACCATCCCCAGCTTAAAGGTATGTTTGAGAAAGTAATGTTATGCTAGTATTAATTCATGTTGATATCAAATCTAAAACAAAATACTAATAATTTAAGTAAGAAACACTTTATTGTGATTTACTCCTTCATTCATCAAATATTTAAGAGTCTTCTATATTAGGCACTGAACAAAGAAAATCTTTACCCTTTTGAAGCTTTCTGTCTGGTTATGGGAGAAAGAAAACCAATTTATGTCAGAAAAAGTCAAGTGCTCTGCAGATAAGCAAGGTGACAAGGACAGCAGAAGTCTTACTATAACACGACACTTAAGCAGAGGCCAAAGGAGTAGGTGATGTCCAGGAACAGCATTTTAGACAAAGTACAGATTTAGTTAGTTTGTTGAGAAGCACTATGGAAGTCTGGCTAGTGCAGGGTGAGTGAAGGGAAGAGTGATTCAGTAACAGGAATAACAGAATTGCTTCTTCACAGAAGAGACTGGGATAGCAGTCTCTTTAATAGTAAAAACTCTATTGGTGTAGGAGTTCATCTTTAGAGGAGGAGGGGAGAGTACTGAGATGCATGTGGGAGTTGTTAACATAGTATTACAACCATGAGGGTACCAAGCAAGTGTAGGTGGAAGAGACAAGTTCAGGGACCAAGGCCTAGGCAGCTGCGCCATTATGCTAATTAGTGATTTTTATTATCTCCTTTTTATTTTTCTAGGAACCATTTTACACGTTTTCCTCCCTAGGTATTCCATAGAATTTTAGTACTGTAGATAAACTATTTCTGTGTGCTGTTTGCACTTTATACATAAAAGAGTAAGACATTTTTGTCCCCAAAGCGCCTACACACACACACACACACACACACACACACACACACACACACACACACACACACACACACACATCCCTCCCTCTTGACAGTATTAACAGCTGTTTCTAACAAAGTAGCCAGGTAAAGAGCTTCCAATGGGAAAGGACAACTAGCAGCAATGGCCTTTAAGCCAGCTGAAGGGAGGGGGAGGACGTGAGCAGCTATACCTTTTCCTCTACTGTGACTACCTTACTCCATCATTTGCCTTCTTGTCTTGGTTTCTTATTTTTGCTGTTATTTGTGCCCCCCACCCCATGCGAGAGATTGAAACCAGAGCTTTGCACATAGAGGCAAGTGGCTTTGCTACTAAGCCATATCCCAGGCCTATGCATTTATATTTTATTGTATCTCCAGCTACTCTGCTTGTCTTTTCTTGTTGGCATATACACATATTATTTTCCATTAAAAAATCCTATTCTTAATCTTGGCTGCTTTTAGCTATAGTCTTTTCAAGGTTCGAGGAGTAGTCTGTTTTCAGTGTCTTTGTTTTAACACTCATCTGCTCCAGCCTACTCTAGAATTGATTGTATTCTCCTCCTGTGTTCCTGGCGATAGAGAACAGAACACAAAGGAAGAGGATGAAAGGACACAGCATAGAGAAAGAACATATTTGCACACCCTCTCTTACTGTTCTAAACTGCTTCTAGAAAAACAACTGTCAAAATTATTGTTATCAGAGCCAGAGGTGTGTAACATGAATTAATAAAAGGCACAGAGACAGATATTGGGGTTCAACCTGAAGATCAGGGAAGCAAAGCAGCCAACCTACCAGAGAGCTCTTACCTGTAAAAGGGCTGGGGCGTTCCTGTTCTCAATGTGACTGAAGAATGAATGCCTGATACTGAGACCCTGCTCCTGTCTTACATACCTCCCTCATGCTGGGATTAAAGACGTGTGATCCCAGGTCCTGAGATCATCTTTGTGTGAGCTGTTTCTCTTTAGGACTGGATCAATCTTGTATAGATCTGGTGACCTTGAACTCACAGAGATCCATCTACCTCTTAATCCTGAGTCCTAGGATTGAAGGTGTGTACCTGGTTTCTGTGGTTTGTGGCTGACTTTGTGAATCCTCAGGCAAGCTTTAATAAATCATAAATAATTTATCACCACAGAGGTGCTTGAAACAGAGCTTGCTAATGTACTTTCTCTTTCTGTAAAATTCTCAGTAGTCTGTTCCTGTTCATATACTAATAAGTTCCAAATCTGTGTCTCTGTTCAAGACTTTGTTCCTGGACTCCAGAGCAGTGAGTCTGCCTGGATGCACTTTATCTTCAGTATGTCCAAAATGAAGCTCTCCTCCACCTTAGTCTTATCCTTGTAGTCAGAGTCTCAGTGGGTGACACTGTACACATCTCTTTAGGCTTCCTTAGTCAAAAAGCTTTGAGTTTGCTTAGAATCCTGCTTCCTCATTTCTCAACATCCTTCAAATTTTACTGATTCTCTTGCCTCCATGTTTGTTTTACTTATTCTCTGTACTAATTTTACCCATCAGCATCATCAGGACTGTTCCGGTACTTTGCTTCATTTTCCTGTCAGAGTTTGCTTCTTGGCTCTGAGTCTATCATAGAATTACTCTGTTTACCCTTTCAAAACTTTTAGATCTTTTCCTTGTTCACAAGAGGAATTCTGAACTCTTAAGTATAATTTGATCCCTAATTCACAAGTTTGGGCTCATGTCCTTCTACTTTCATCTTTCCATAATTCAATTCCTAGCTATTAAAATCACATGTAGTTCTCTGAAAAGCAATTTTGTTCCATGTGTCTGTAGCTTTAAAGATACCTAAAATCTTACACCCCCCCAGCTACCACCCCCATCTCATTAAGTGGCCAAACTTTCCTTTACCTTAAGGGCCACTTTAGGCATCAACTTATGTAGTTTGTCTTGAGTCCCCAAAAGAGGTTTAGGGTCCTTTATTGAAACCTTTACTATGTTTTTTCCATTCTTTTGCAAATTATTATTTTTTCCCCTTAGAAAACAGAAATTCTGTTTTCTACTTTCAAGTGTAGTCACTAAGCTCCTTGAGAAGAAAACATAGCCTGCTTGTTATACTCAGTTCATTACAGAAAAAGCAGAAAAGTTAGATGAATGAGAAGGTTTAATAAGTTTAAATGCTAAAATATCTGTAACCCATTGCTATTTATAGAAAATATTTTGGTCCTTTTGAACAGAGTTTATAATTTGTTCACTGTCATCTTAAAAATAGTACCTTGCTTTTTTTGTTTCTTGTAATCTTTGTGGTTTTTTTTTTTACCTTGATTCTTCTCTTAATCTTTGTGTTTTTTAAAAAATATATCTACTCTCTAAAATTGTATAATGGGTATTTTTTTCTTCTTACTTTAGAAATATGTAGAACAAGCAGTTATCCCACTGAAAAGTCACCTTTTAATTTAGATACTGTTGTTGCTGAAACACTTGGACTTAATGTTCAAGAAGAGTCTGTAAGTAATCACTTTGTTTGATGATTGTATGAATTATTAATTGATATGTCTACTTGATTATATGACTTATTAATAATTGATATGTCTACTTGTATTCATTCTTTTGTGGGGTGGTGGTTTTTCGAGACAGGGTTTCTCTGTAGCTTTGGAGGCTATCCTGGAACTCACTCACTCTGTAAACCAGACTAGTCTCAACTCAGAGATCCACCTGTCTGCCTCCTGAGTGCTGGGAATAAAGGTGTGAGTCACCACTGCCCGGCTTGTATCCATTCTTAAAGAATTAACGGGAACCAGTAGTAATGGCATAGGCTGGTAGGATATGCTGAAGAGACAGAGGCCGAGGGACTATAAGAACAAGCAGGGGAAAAACAATTTTATGCAGTCATCATTACATAAAGTCCTAGAACAAAACTGTTAGCAAAGCCACTTATGTGACTCTTTCCAAGCAGTCACAGCAGCAGACTCTTAGGATATGAACTGAGTTGCCAGCTCTTTTTCATGCCCCTTCTTTTTTGCTTCCTCCCCATATTCATTCTAAGAAAATATCCTTTTAGATTGAATTCAGAAATTATTGGGCCTTTCTGACAGCCATTACATTTTCATTTTGATTTGAAAAATGGCCTGAAGTTTAAGAACTACCAGTTCTGCTAAACATAATCCTCAGAGGTTGGGTCAGAGACTGACCCTACAGTGCTGTTTACATTATTTTGATACTTTACCCCCCCCAATCGTATAACACAAAACACTTGAATTTGGATTCTCAGGTCTTAGGCTCTAGGTTTGTTTGTGTTTTAGGTTTATTTACCTATTTATTTGTACATCTTCATGTTGCTATGAGTTACAGGCACTTGTGAGCAGCCTGTAGGGCACAAGTGCTCTTAATCACTGAGCCATCTCTCTAGCCCCAAGCTGCAGAGTTTTTGTCTCTTTGTAGTATTGGGTATTGTAACTGAGGCTTCACAAATGCTCGGTTAAGTTCCATTTTGATAAAACTAAGAACTGGAGATTTAATTTAGCTCAGTGGCAGAGCACTACTACTTCAAAAACAAATGACAGCTTTAAAATAGTTCTTCTTTGCTCTTGCCAGCAAAGATGTGTGTGCTCTTGGAAAATTGTCTCATTGTGGAATTTCGAAAACTTGAGTTAATTTTTCATTGCATTTGAATTTTAACCTTTTAAAATTCATCCTAAAGTAATAATGGGTAATTTTTAGCTTCTAAATATTTAAATGAGTTTAATAGTTTCTAGTTCCTTACTATCCTCCATAAATCTAGCAAGTTCAGATATGAAATATATTAAAGAAGAAGATATAAAAGGACTTCTTATAGCCTGATTCACAGGTCAACAGCATCTTTATTATTCTTGAATGTGTTACAGGCACAGATCTCAGATCTACTGCCTTGTGTTTTAATGATTGCTGACTAACTTGTATGTACATTCAATATTGAGAATTCCTTCAAAAGGACCCTTTTAAATTCACCAGCATTTTCTACCCTCCCTCTTAATGCATTTTGATATTGAAGTGCTTCTGTGTGGTATTAAATTATGCTTCTGTTTAAATTTTTAATTGTGATAAAATTTAGATAATAAAATTAGTCATTTTAAAGTCTACAGTACAGGAATATTTATACATTCTCAATATTATACAACTCCCTTCTCTGTCTAATTATGTAATTCTTCATTCTGGTTTCTTTTACTTCATGAACTTTTGAGATTTATTTGCATTATAGCATTTATCAACTTTAAGCATACTTTACTGTTGAAGGAACACCAACGTTGTACAAGCCCTCTTGGGGATGAGCTCTACCACTGTCTTGAAGGAGATCACAAAAAACAGCCTTCAGTAGAATCTGCAAGAAGTAGTGAGGATAGTTTAAGGTAATTTGGATCATATAGTGTCTGTTTCTTTTGTGTTTTTTAATGTAGCTTCATAAACCCTGTAAGGTTGAATTTCAACAATACTGCACTCTCCCTGAGTGAGGTGTGAGTCAATAGCACCTAGCCCTTGCTTGACTTTATTTATTTATCTTGGTGCCTCAGTTATTCTTAGTTTATCATGATAATAACTTGCCAAGTGAGTTTTATTACCCTGTTCTTATTTTCTTTAAACAGGTAACAAAAATGTGACTCTGTAAGGTTGAATGCCTTATATAAGATCGTGTAGCTATTGAGAGCACTTACCAAGCTCTGTATTCAGTTCTATAGTTTAAGAATTTTTTCCTGGAAATACTCATAAGATTTAATAATAGCAAAAGACTTTTGAGTCCTCAGTGGACTTCATTTCTCTTTCATCTTCTACTCTGCTAAATGAGGAGAAACCAACACTATCTTAAATTTGTTTTAATTATCTGTCTCTAGTAGATAGATAATGTCTTACTATTCTGTATCAAGAATTTTTTTTTAGTATACTGGTCTTTTAATTTTTATCCTGTTTTTCAGTAAAAAAAAATTCTTATATCATTATTTATATAGGTTTTCAGATGCTGCTTCAAAGACACCTCCCGAAGAATTTACTCCTCGGGTCTCATCTCCTGTATTTGGAGCTACCTCGACTGTGAAAAGTCATTTGGGTTTGAATACAAGTTTCTCCCCTTCTCTTTTAGACGTTGGGAAAAGAAACCTTCTGAAGACAGCTCCCTTTAGCAACATTTCTGTATCTAGATCAGAGAAAGCGAGATCAAAATCAGAGGACAGTACTCTTTTCACACATCATAATCTTGTGTCTGAAGTAAACAAGGTCATTAGCCAGTCATTTCCTAACAAGCAGATACTTACGAATAAAAATGTAAGCGAATCCGTAGATGAGCAGGGCAGTAGTGATCCTATTAAAGATAAATATTTGGTGCCTTTGAAGTCACTGGGAGGCAAAGCATGCAAGAGGAAGAAGACTGAGGGGGAGAGTGAACATGCAGTACACTGCCCCCAAACCTGTCTAGATAAGGAAAATTCTCTTCCTTTTCCCATGGAGAATCAGTTCTCCATGAATGGAGACCATGTTATGGATAAACCCCTGGACCTGTCAGATCGGTTTGCAGCTACCCAACGTCAAGAGAAGAACCACGGAAATGAAACTTGTAAAAACAAGTTTAAACAAGTGACTATTTATGAGGTTTTGAAGCCCATTCCCAAGGGCTCTTCCTCAGGTCGCAAAGCCTTGAGCGGGGCCTGCTTATTAGCCAAAGATTCTTCAGAGGAGTCCTGTTTACAGCAGTGTGTCCTCCAGACCTCTAGCAAAGCCTCTCCAGACCGTAAAACGCCACTGCAGATAAAAGAGGAAGAGCCTGCCTTCAAGGCCCCTCTGTGCTCACGGGACAACGCCGAGACAGAGGATCTCTTTAGTGACATGAAGGTTTGTGTTAAATGTTGAGAGATTTTGATTAAAGTTTGTGGTTTCATTTAAGTGCTAATAATTATTTCTGTCTAGGATACTGGTTCTCTTGTGCCAACAAAAGTAAAAAGCAGATCAGTCCATGGAGGATGTGAGCTTGCATCAGTTCTTCAGTTAAATCCCTGTAGAGTTGCTAAAACAAAGTCCCTGCCAAACAACCAAGGTGTGTGCATTATAAACAGGCTCTCTCCTCTTTTTTAATTGAATGGCATTTATATTCCTTACACAAAAATTTTTTCCTATATATATATATCTGTGTTTCATAGCATTATTCTTTCTGCTTTCATTTTACCTTGGAGTTTTCTGCTTCTAAGTGTTTTAAAACTTTATTTTTGATATGTATTTTTTGATGGTGTTGTGGATTTACTTATGTAGTTATTCCTTGCTTCCTTTGCAAAAGCTTTAAAAGTATGTTAACTATTCCATTGCGGTGGGTTTTGTTTGGGGATAAAGACATGTACCACTGCCACCTACCTGTTGCTTCATGATCTTAAACTATAGTTTGCAGTTGTAATGTGTTCTGCCCACATATGATACTTTGAAAATCCAAATACTTTTACAATTTTAACTTAACAATTACTTCAGTGAAATACAAATCATGTATTATGAAAATGTCCATTGTGTTTAGTCCAGTGGTTTTGGTGTACCTAAAGAGTTGTACAATCTAAGTTTATCATCTTCCATGCCTTTTCATTCTTCCCAATTCTAGTTATCAATATAATATTTATCTCTTAGATGAAATACTGTAGATATTTTAAGTGAATAGAGACCTACTCAGTATGAAATCTTGTAACGTCTTTGGCATAATGTTTTCTTTTTTATTTATTTTACTATTATTGTTGCATATGTGGTGTGTTTCTGTGAGTGTGGATGTGTACATGCCACAACATGTGTAGGCCAGAGGACAGCTTTGTGCAGTTAATTTCTCTCTCTGAACTTTCACATAGGTTCTAAGGGTCAAACTCAGGCCATCATGCTTGCATGACAAGTACCTTTACCTGCTGAGCCGTCTCCCTAGCACTGGCATAGTGTTTTCAGTTCCCAGTCATACTGTATTATGTATCAGTATTCCATCCCTATTGTATTGCTGAATAAAATTTCATTATATACAGTCATGTTTTAATTAGTTAATACAAATTTGCTGTCATTGTTATCTTTATGGCATACTGCTATGAACATTTGTGTACAGATTTTTCTGTAAATGGTTTTCTTTTTCTTTTTCCCAGTTTTCCTGGTACTAAAATTGTTAGACCTCATATCAGCTCTTACTTTGACTGCCTATTTCCCAGAGCAGCTATACCGTTTCACAGCACCATGACTGTGTGAAGGGTTCATCCTTTCCAAGTCAGTATTTATATGTATATACTTTGAGTCTAGTCAATCTAGTTTGCGTGAGTGATATCATTTTTGTCTTTCATTTTTCTGATTGCTGGTTATATTGGTCACTTTCTCAAAATGTTAGTGGCCAATTGAACTGCTGGTGAGATTCTTTGCCTACTTTGATTTGGGTTTTGGCTTTGGTTTTTAAGATTTTTAAATTTTTATATACATGAAAGTTTTGCCTGTATGTAAATTTGCACCATGTGCCTCGTGCCTACGGAGGTCAGAAGGGTGTATCAAATTCCCTGGCTGGGTTATTGAGAACCACTATGTGGATGCCAAGAACCAAACCTAAGTCCTTTGCTAGAGCAGTTAGTGCTTTCAACTGCTGAGGGATTTATTTCTTTAGCTTCTTGGGATATTTGTTTTTGAGTATGTATGACAGGAATTCTTTATATTTATGTTCTGTGGGTCCCTTTCATTTTAAAGTGAAACACAATTTCAAATTGACATTTTAATTTGTACTTCTTCTCTTTTTCCAAGATGTGTCCTTTGAAAATATTCAGTGGAGTGTAGATCCAGGAGCTGACCTTTCTCAGTATAAGATGGATGTTACTGTAATAGATACAAAGGTAGGTTACAGAATTAGACTAGAGCCTGTTTGTTTCTTACTCTAGTGACTTACCATCTCCTTCTTGAAATACTTCTTTACACATTTCATTTATTGTGCATGTGTGCATGTACACGTTAGTGTACACCATATATGCACATTACATCATACATGCAGAGGTCGGAGCACAACCCTCAGGATTTGCTCCTCTCCATATACCATGTGAATTCCTATAGATCAAACCCAGGTTGTCATGCTTGTGCATTTACCCACTGAGTCATCTTGTTAACCCAAGACAGCAACTTCCTAACACTTGAATGTGTTCTCTCACGAAGCAGAAATAATACCTTCCTTCTAACACAATGATAATACTGAAAGGTTAATTTTTCTGATTTTTAAAGACCTTTGATATAAAGCATTAATGTTGTTTTTAAATAACAAAGAATTATAGGTACATATTGCAAGTGATTTTACTTTTATCAGAAATCACCAATCATATGTTCTTAGTTCTTTAGATAGGATCTCATTATACAAACTAGACTAGTCTCAGACTTAATTGTCCTCATGCTTCTCCTCACAGTGCTGGGAGTGTAGGTGTGTATCACCATGCCTGTAATTCCTTTATGTGTTTAGCTTTAATTTTTAAATTTTTTTTAATTTTTAAATTTTTATATTTATTATGTATATGAGTTTTCCTACATGTATGTTTGTGCACTATGTCTGTTTGAAATTGCCTGCAGAGGTCAGAAGATGGTGTCAGATACCCTGTAATTTGAGTTACATATGAGTGCTGGGAATTGAACCTGGTACCTCTGCAAAAGCAGCAAGTACTACCAGGTCATCTCTCTAGCCACCTTAATTAGCATAGAGGGAGAGAGAGGAGGAGAGTGAGGAGAGAAGAGAGGAGGAGAGGGAGAGATATGCTGTCAAGGAATTTTTTTTCCAGTTTACTTTTTGAAGAAGTGATATTGTTTTGTTGTTGTTGTTGTTGTTGTTGTTGTTGTTGGTGGTGGTGGTGGTGGTGGTGGTGGTGGTGTGTGTGTGTGTGTGTGTGTGTGTATTCATTTGTTCGTTCAAGACACGGTTTCTCTGTGTAGCCCTGGCTGTCCTGGAACTCACTCTGTAGACCAGGCTGGCCTGAACTCACGGAGACCACCTGCCTCTGCCTCCTGAGTGCTGGGATTAAAGGCGTGTATCACTACACCCAGCTATGATGTTTTGTTTTGTTTAATTTGTACTGGAAATATGATTTTGCTTTGTGTTCATGTTCCAAATAGTTTGTGAAATTCTACTTGGTGGCACATTAAGAAATTATGTAGTTTTTTAAAGTAACATGTAGCTATGAAGAAATCAAGTTTTATTGTTAAAGTAACTTTTCATGTGCGTTAGAATTTATTACTGGAGTCTACAGAGCCAGTTCCAGGACAGCCTTCAAAACAATACAGAGAAACCTGGTCTCAAAAAAACAAAAAACAAGGAAAAGTTTATTACTGGAAAGCAGATTAGAGAAAGTAAAGCACAAAGTACTTTATTGATATATAAACCTCCCTTTCCATGGCCACAGCTTTCCTTTTCCTTAGACTGACATTAAGTGCTTATATATTGAGGCTAATAGAGGCAAGAAAACCTATATCTCTGTTCTTGAAATACAAAAGAAAATAACTTACTGTTTTAAAATAGTAAAATTTGAGGAGAGTTTTTAACACCTTTTTGTAGTCAAAAGCAGATATAAGACTTTGAAAGAATAATTGCTAAACTTTTGGGTTTTTAAAATATTTATTTAGGATAACAGTCATTCACGATTAGGAGAAACAGTGGACATGGACTGTACATTGGTCAGTGAAACCGTGCTTTTAAAAATGAAGAAACAAGAGCAGAAAGAAAAAAGTCCAAGTAAGATTTGTTTTAATTTTTGTCACTTTAATCAAATGTGGAATGAATAGCCATATCATATACTGATAAATGGAGAAACTATGTAAACCATATTTTGAGGCTTGTTTTTTAATTGAAGAATAACTTTTATACAGTCACATTTTTCCCCTTCTCCAACTTCTCCCAGATCTTCTCACCTACCCAACTCCATGCTTTCTCTTTCTCTCTAGGGAAAAAAAAACACACACACACACACACACACACACACACACACACACACACACACACACACACACACACACACACACACACGTAAAAGAACAAAAGTTGTCCAAGCTACGTTATATGAAACAAAAAGTTTTACAAAGATGCCATTGAGTTCATTTTATGTTGGCTGACTACAGCCAGACTTAGGGCCTGCCCTGAATGTGGTTGATATAACCACTAAGATTCCATTAAAGGAAACTAATTTTTCCTCTGCAAGTGGTTATCAGTTGCAGATAGCTCCTTGGTTAGGTGTGGGAGCCTTGGCCCACTTCCTCCTTTCAGTTCCAGGACCCCATCTGGCTTGAGCCTGTGCAGGCAGGTCCTGCGCATGCTGCCCCAGTCTCTGTGGGTTCCTGTGTGCATCGGTCCTGTTGAAGTCTTTCCACCTCCTCCTCCACATAGGTCCCTGATCTCTGAGGGGAGGTGTTTGGTGAAGACATCTCGTTTAGGACTGAGTACTCCAAAGTCTCTCACTCTTTGCACATTGTCCTCTTTGGTCTCAATATTAGTTTCCATTTGCTTCCAGAAATTGCTGTGATGTTGGGTGAACATGGCTATAGCAGAATGTAGTAAGAGCCATTTTATTGCTATGTTCCTTTAGTAGACAATAGTATTTGGTTTTTGCCTAGGCCCATAGCATATCCAGTTTCTTGGCCACCCTAGCAGTGTCAGGCATGGGTTCCATCTCATGGAATGGAACTTAACCTCCAGTCAGGGTGTGAATGGTTCCTCCCACTATGTTTATGCCAGCATATTTTAAAGGCAGGTCATCTTGTAGATTACAGGGTTTGTAGCTGGGTTGAGGATTACCTTTCTCCTCTGGTAGCATGCAAACTGCCTTCCATTACCATGAATACTGGCTGGTGGGAGTGAAACCTCTAGTTAGGTGCCAACTTTACCTTTCCATGTCCAGTGATTACACACGTATTGTCTCTATACACTTACAGGAATAGGGTCTTACCGTCAGTTTGTGGAGAGTAACCAGTAGCCTTGGCAATAGCCTGAGATGTTTGCAATAACCATGGAGCCCCTTTGGCCAACAACGCAACTGCATGTAATTCATTTTTGACACTGGCAGTTTTACTTGGTGACATAAGATGTCTATTTGGGGCAGTGTCTCCCCCATTATTTGGTGATTCCACTTAGATTGCTTTCATATTATTATATATTTAACAAGCTTCTCCAGTAACAAGTTTCCGTATGCCCCTTCAATGAAATGACCCTTAGTGTTATTCTCATATTCCCTTCCTCACCCCTCTCTTCAACCCCCACCCCATGTTTGTTGTCCTGAACCCTGTCTCTCCATAACAATGTGAGATGGCTGGGCAGAGAGAAGATGTAAGCGGAAGAAAGAGGAACCCTCTCTCTTGTCTGCTGAGATGCTAAGGAGGTAAGGTGTGGTTTGCTCCATCTCATTTCCTGACTGTGCCCAGTCATCTCACTTCGTGTTTCTGCCCAGCCATCTCACTTCCTGTCTGTCTGTACAGACCTCCAGACCTCTGTGGTTAGCTAGTGGCAAGCTCAATTATCTGATCCTCAGACAGGCTTTATTTGTATAAGCAAGATATCACCACATGGCTGTTAACATAGTAGATCTGTTGAAGTCATGTTTGAAGGAAGAAAAAAGAAATCTACCTACTGAAGTAAACCTCTTTAATGCAAAGTGAGGTACATCAATAAACTGCTAATACCTTTGTATCCCTATTGTGCATTAGACCTACCAGGTGCTTGATAGAAATATCAGAAAGTATGTAGTGTCTTTGTACATGTATTTCTCATTCAGAAGTTAGACCAGTGATTCAGCATCTTAGCTCACTAACAGGTATACAGAGGGTATGGGGGTGTGGTGGGGGTGATATCATTTAACCATTCAATAAATATCAAGCAAAAGTTACATTGTAGGAAATATTCTAGAACTAGAATAAATAGAACAAAACTACGTACCCCATGGAATTTATATTTTAATGGGGAAGAACCTAGTGGCTATCTAATATGATAATGATGTAAATGTAGAAATAAATCAAGAGTTAACAATTCTCCACATTAACGATTAAGGATTGCCAGATGGTGGTGGCACGCACCTTTGATACCAGCACTTGGGAGACAGAGACAGAACAGATATATCTCTGAGTTCGAGGCCATTTTGGTCTACAAAGCAAGTTCTAGAACAGCTAGAGCTGTTACACAGCTGTTACACAGAGTAACCCTGTTGGGGGAGAGGGGAGAAGAGAAAAAGAAGGACAGTGGTAGTTATTTATCCTGAATAATTTTAGTTGGCCCGGAACTGTCATAGTTAATAGGCAACTGAACCTGTGTCTAAATTAACTATACAGTAAGTAATGTAGTTAAATTTGTGAAGATGAATTCACCACTTTGATGCGGTAGATAGAGTGTGCATTCATTGTTTCCATCCATTGTAAATTAGCAAGTGCTAACTGATTTTTAAAAAAGAATAACTTTGAAAATTTTCATTAGAAAGATAAGTAAAATTTTATGCAGAATTTAATATCTGCTATTTATACAGTTGTTTATATTTGGCATTTTTTCATTAAATTTTGTGGTGTATTTTCTAGTCCTCAACAGTTTCCTTGATAAAAATTCTTTTGATTTTTATTACACATGAGCTGATAGAAGGGAAAGTCTTCAACATGTGTAAGGGATCCAATAACAAAAACTAGTTTTATAATCATAGGACAGTGCTTGAAGTCACTACATAAAACTTTTATAAATGAACAGTAACTACTAGGACTTAGAAGTTTATTACCTCATGTACCACTTTCGAGAATTAAGCCACATAGAAATTTGACTTAAAGATCTCTAAATACTTAATTGCATATATTATAGTATGTTACCCATTGTGAGTCACTGAGTTCTGCTCTTTTAACATTACAGTTTACAACGGATATTCTTAGAATCATCTTTTTTGAAAAATGTGTTACCCATTTTAAGGTCTCTCTTGACAAGGTCTCATAAAACAGTCTTAGACTGACTTTTTACACTTAACTGTACTCATCTATTTAAAAGAACACTTCTGAAGGTGAAACCTACAATCCACATGTAAGAATCTTTTATAAAACAAGTGCTCTCAAAGACTTTATTATACTACTTTATGGTTGTTAGTTTAGTGTGTAAGTTCACAATGGGCTTCACAGAAGGCCAAAGTTTGCCTGCTGCTAAGCCCGTGCCTTTTTTTCTATAGATGGAGATATAAAAATAAATGATAGTTTGGAAGAAATGTTTGATCAAACAACACATGAAGAATATGAATCCTGTTTGGCAGATAGCTTCCCCCAGGTACCAGATGAGGAAGAACTGTCTGCTGCCACAAAGAAACCAAACAGTAAGTCTGTTTTCTCTTTAGTTCTTTTCTGTTATGCTGAGTTCACTAAGTCAGCAAGCTAATCAATAGAGGAGATCGCCTGGAACTGGAATTAGAGAAGGTGGTGAAGCACTGTAGGTGCTGGGATCGCACCTGAGTAGCCAGTGCTCTTAACGACTTGAGCTATCCCCTCCCAGTTACGTTTTTACTTGAAATAACTTCAAATTAAGGAAATGTTCCAAAAAAGAAGTTGAGAGTGTTCACCTATACCTTCCACTGAGCACCTCTTTATGCAAACATTTTTACACAACTGAAATATTTATTAGAACTAAGAAATTAATCTTGGTTCTATAGTATAGTTTTCTTTACATATATACATATATATCAACTTTATATTATACATAAATATATAAAAAAGTGTGTATATATTAAAATGTGAGAAAGTTTAATTTTATAATTGTTAATTTTTTCAGTAATAATAATGCAGTAGAAAAGATTCACAGAAAGTTTAGGTCTGTTTTCTGCTTCTGGGTAGCATGAATTTTCTTTAGTCTTAATACTCGGAGTTAACTATTGCGTGTGACTGAAGGATCAGAGATGTAGAGTGGCCAACCACTGGAGTTCTTATTCTACCAAGGCTGAGACCAAAGGAATGATGCTGTCCCTACAAATCCTCAGACCACGTCTGTCTCTATGAAACGTCAGACTCTGACACCTCAGACTGCTCTAAGCTCGGGTCTCCTCCCTCCTCATATTCCTGTCTTTGCCCTGCCGTATCACTCCTGTTTCCACCTCCCTAGTGCTGGGATTAAATAAAGGCTTGCCATCCCAAGTGTTGGGATCAAAGGTGTGAGCTCTGCTTCTCTTTTAGACTGATTCAATCTCATGTAGCCCAGGGTGGCTTGAACTCCTGATCTTCTTGCTTCCTTCCTGGGATTAAAAAGATGTGTGCCACCACTGCCTGGCCTCTATGACTAATTAGTGGCTTAGCTCCACACTCTGATCTTCAGGCAAGCTTTATTGTTAATAGCATAAACAAAATATCACCACAGCTGTAAGCACTTTGTCTTCTCAGAGGAAATATCTATTATACTTAGTGTTCTAAAGGGTATTTCATCTACTTGCAACTCTTAAGAAGATAACTGCAATTTCAAGTTAACATTCTGGCTAAGTATCCTATGTTATATTTAAACACTGGCCATCTCAAAACTTCTCATCTCTTTTGACTGTTTGGTGTCTTGACTTCCGTTTCTCACGGTATTCCTAAGGCTCTTCCCCCCTCAGAACATTTTTGCCCATGGCTTTTTATATTCATTATTGAAAATTAGTCCAAATCTGTATTTCTAGGCTTGACTTCTAATGAATCCCAGACCTGCATTTGTAAGTAATTGTTAGATACCTTTGTGACTCATCAATTTAAACTATCAATGTCTAAGCCAAGTTCCATGTGTTTCCTACTAAATAATTTCTTATTTTTCAACCACTGGCATAAATATTAGAGTTTAACTTTTCATTTTCGCAACTCCTATACCAAAGTTCTAACCAATTTTCCTTCACAGGAAAAAGTAAGTTTGGAGAACAATATCAAAAACTCATTCTGACAGATTTTTATTGCTAAATATTCAAATGGATCAATCTGTTAGTAAGCAATTAGTGCATGTAGACTTGAGCAAGAAATCCAGAGTAAAAAGATAATTTGAGGACAGGAAATAGACATTCCATAAAGTCATGACACTGAAAAAGCATCCCAGGTTTCTGACCTCCTGGATATAGCAAATTATGGTCTGGTTGTGAGTCTAGTCTTTTAATGGCTGAGTCATCTTTTCAGCCCAAGGGATATAGCAACTTAGAGAGCAGAGGTGACCCAGTTAGATGTCTCATGGGTAAAGGCCTATTGCCAAACCTGACTACTGAGTTCAATCCTTGGGATCTGCGTAGTAGAAGGAGAGAACCAAGTCCCAGGTTTTGTTCTCACCTCCTCCACAGTCATTGTGGCACCACAGACATTTTTGCACACACATGCACATTAATTGAATAAATAAAATAAAAACTACAGAAGGAGGAGAGGGAAGCAGCAAAGGAAACGAAGATGGTGCTTTGGACATGAGGTAGGAAGGAAATCGTTTTTTGCTGTTCTGGGAGCCAAGGGAAAATGTTTTGTGTATACATTGTGTTCCTTTCCCTAGACTCCTCTATGGCACCCTTTAAGTATCTAGACTCAGATGCAGTCAGCTCAATAGAGTTTTGTTTTTTCTTTTGTTTTGTGTTTTGGTTTCTCAAGACAGGGTTTCTCTGTGTAGCCCAGGCTGTCCTGGAACTCACTCTGTAGACCAGACTGATTTCCACCTACCTCTGCTTCCCAAGTGTTGGGATTAAAGGCGTGCTCTACCAACTGCCCAATACATTTTTGTTTTTCTAACCCAGTTTTTATGTTCTCCTGCCACTCCAGGTTTCATTATTTGCCAAGTATCCATCTACCCAGTAGCTAAAATTAGAAATGTGGGAATCAACTTTTACATAATGCTGTGATCCATAAGATCATACAGTGAGGTTTCAGTCGATAAACTTACCAGGCTACCCATTGGAATTCTGTGGGAGAAAAATCCCCACTTGTAAAGCCCTGGGGATACCTGCCTTTTGAATAGTCATTGTCATCCCTGTAAAGCCCTTATGAAACCATAGCATTCTTCCTTTTCCATAGTGGGATTTTTCTACCAAAACCCCAGCAATGTATTCATCAATTATTGGGCACAACACCTTCTTGTACTGGTAAACTGGATAACCTCCAACACTGTGGGATCCTGATTTGAATTATTCTCAGTCAAGGAAACCTTTTGTTCTCATAGTCAAATGTATATAACGTAGAAGCTAGCCCTATACAAGTATCTCTTATGGCAGGACACATGACAAGGAGAGGAACCTTGAAAACAGACCATATTCAGATCTTCAAAGACAGCCACTGTGTAGGAGACGCAAACATCTGTCCCCAGTGACAAGCAGGACTGGGTGGCATTGATTCCTATAACAGTCCACTCAGGAGAGTGCAGCCTCCTGGCCCCTGTTCTATCTTAAGAAGTTATCAATATTTCATACTCACCTTCACCTCAATTCTGCTGATATAAGATCTCAATATAGGAAACTGTTTGTGCCTTTAGTCCTAAGATTCAGGAACAAGCGTTGGATCTCTTAGCCAGCCCCAGAGAAAGGAATCCCTTCTCACTGGGGCGTCAGCCATACCAACGCCCTGTCCACTTAGCCTGTGTCTCGGCTGGAAGCTGCAGCCTTTGGATCTCACATAGCTTCTTCATTTGACCTAGTGTTGTGAGAATACTCTAGCAATTGGCAAAAACGCTAATATGGACTAAGGGCCCATTTTTCTTCTACAGCTTATGCAAGTCGCCATAACTAACATGGTGCTATGTTCCCAGCTATTGCTAAAGCAAAAGCAAAACCCAACACATATAGTTTTTTTTCCTTTTTTATATTTACTATTTACTTCTAGTATTTCTTCATTGTTTTACATTTATCAGTTATAGACTTCTACGTTAACTAACCACATTATACATTAACATTCTTCTCCCTTCTTAGCATTAATAAGCCCTTTACTCCGTTTAATCCTAGAGTTTTGCCTGAACGCTTCATAAATCACATTCCCCCTGAGACATGAGGTGCCCACTTTTTTCAAAATTTTATCTGCTTCCTGGTTCTGAGAGATATGCATGCCCAATATCCCTGCTATTGTCAGAGTTGCTAATTGTATCTGTATTGGGTATATAAACCTGCCCTTCATCAAAGAATAAAGAACCATGAGAAGAATGTGTGTGTGATCCGGTTTGTTTCCCTTTATCCTCAGATCCCCCTTTTTTGCCAAGCCTTACCAGCTTGCTGTAAGCCCCCAGCCTGGACCCTAAGAGGCTGGAACTTGAATGCTCTTGTTAGCATCATTTATTATTTTAAATTACCAGTCAAAATTAAATGTCATACATTATTTGTAGACATTGTCATTGTTTTATGACAGACACAAGTCATAACAACAAAACTCAATGAGTCAGACTCCTAACAATGTCAGAAAAAAAATCCTAGAAGTATAAAAATTAAAGCCTTAATGAAAATAGATAGGAATTATTTGCTGTGGTAGTAGTGGCTTGTCTACCATGTGGATGCTGTCTGGAAAATTTCCCTTACCTAAGAGGACACACAAAGCCGGTTCCAGGATGAGACTTAGCCCCAAAAGTAGAGGTTGGATAGGAAGTGGGAGTCATATTTCACTTTATTTTTCACCTCACTTTCGTGCTCAGTCTGATGCCCTGGAGATATTGTCCAAAGCATATTTTACATTACTCTGTCCCTATCCAAAAGCATTGTTATGCCCCCTATTGTATGCATGCCTCCTGTATTTTCTACAGAATACCAGGATGGCCTTACTTTAAATACAAATTGGGTTGTATTATGTTTTCTTTTAGAAGTTCTTCAATGAAAAGATAATTGAATAACCAATAAGCACATGAAAAATTATTATTGGGCATCAAGTGTTGAATTCACATTCCCTGGGGTGATTAAAAACAGTGACAACCAAATGTTAGAAAGGGTGAGGAGTGAGCCTGGCGGTGGTGGCGCATGCCTTTAATCCCAGCACTCGGGAGGCAGAGGCAGGTGGATCTCTGTGAGTTCGAGGCTGGGCTGGACCGATAGCCTCCAAAACAATACAGAGAAACCCTGTCTCGTAAAAACCAAAAAAAGAAAAAAGAAAAAGAAAAAAAAGAAAGGGTGAGGAGTGACAGGAATTCTATATATTGGCAGCAGGAGTCAACAAAAGAAAAAGATAATAGTTTCATAGATTTCATCATTCGTTTTATACAGAATTAAATATATACCTATCACAGCATTTAACTCAGGTATATATATGTCCTAAGAAAAATGAAAACTCAATGGAGTTGTGTTTATTTTTGTTCATTGGGTTAGGAATGTAGCACTGAATATTTATAATAGTACTATCTGTTATAACTGAAAACAGCCTTCATATCCGTCAACAAGTAAATGCATCAAAACAACATAAATAAACCTCCAACTTGCTGGGAAAATAAAAATGATAAAAAATAAAATTGTAGTTTTTTAGCATGTGGTTCTAAAACAAGCTATTTTGTGAAAGAAGTCAAATTGGTGTTGGGGGAGGAGATGGAAGAGAAACACGAGACCATCCCTATACATGAGAAACAAAGGAATGATAGCAAAATCGAAGTGATGGAAATGCTTCACTTTTATCATCAATTTTCTGATAAAACTCTTTAATCCATTTTCTAATCATAACCGATCTTAAAGATGCATGGACAAACAAGTGAGATATCCTAAAAGATGTCTATTGATCTCTTGCCACGTAATAACAGACGTCTAGACAGTTCTGTTAATCTTAGATACTCAATGTGCCAGGTGTGGTGGTATACACTTTTAATCCTATCACTGGGAGGTAGGTGGATCTCTTTAGTTTGAGGCCACATAGTGAGGCTATGTCTCAAAATAAATTAATTAATCAATAATTAAATACTTCCTGAAATGTAATTTTTAGCTTAGTGACTCAGGTAATATAATTAATTATCACCTTTTATGTAGATGAAAAATAGAATTTTAGTGAATTGCCCACCATAACTCAAGTGTGAAAATCAATAAAAAGGGAAGTTTGGTATATGCTGTAGTTTTTTTCTAAGCAAACTGATTATTTCTCATCAAGTTCTACAGCTTGTGAAATTCTTGTTTTGTTTACAGTGCATGGTGATAAACAAGATAAAGTCAAGCAGAAAGCGTTTGTGGAGCCATATTTTAAAGATAAAGAGAGGTAAGTGGGTCTCAATATTACCACTGTGTTTGGAGGTACAGCATAGCTGTCTTTGCCAGTCTGTAAGCTATTTAATTATTGCTTTGATTAAAATAAAATAATTTACAAGGAGACTGAGGCTCTATAGTTTAAAAAGAAGAAGATAAAAGAGTAATTTAGAACCATGGTCACATCTCTAAGGTAAAGGTGAGCACTGGGAGACTGAGGCAGCGCAATTGCACATTTGAGACCAGCCTGGGTTACACAGTGAGACTTTGTGTTAGTGGGTGCATGCGTGCTTGTGTGTGTATGTATCCCCTTAAGCAAGTGTATGTAGCATAGCGTTTTTCTGCTTCACCAGTTTTCATTTAATCTTGGAAATTAGTTGAATTGTGAATAATGCTTTTTGCTAGTTTTGTTTTTTCTATGCGTGTGTGCTGTGACTTGTTCTCTAGCAGTAAGCACTTTGTTCACCATGATGCTACTACACTAATGATACAGTGAATAAGTACCTTTGTTCTCCATCTTTGAGGAAGAGAACAAAGAAGAATTTATGCATGAAATGACACAGTGAAACATACTTTGTGCTGCCAAGATTAGTGTAAAATAATACTTACTAATAGTCACCCTTTAATAAATACTTGAAAAGAATCATTTGTTCTCATAATATACAGAAGAACATATCAAATAAAATGAGATTGGGTGATTATTTCTCTTCTGGGTTCTTATATTTTTAATTCAGATTTTAAAGTAACAAATAGGATAACTTTAAATTCCTTTTCCCTCCAGAGAAAGTAACATACAGAATTTTCCTCATATTGAGGTAGTTCGGAAAAAAGAAGAGAGAAGGAAATTGCTTGGGCACACATGTAAGGAATGTGAAATTGTAAGTACTAATGTAAACACTTCTTTTGAAGTATGGTTCTGTATTTCATAAGTACATGATTTAAAATCACAGATACAGATCATAGTTATATTTAGAAACCTTGTTAGATCCAGTAATGATAGAAGGAATAAGGAACATGCCAGCTAGGACCAGCATATATTAATAAATAGATATAAGTAAATGAAAGTGAATGCCCCCAGCTTGTCTTAGATTAAGTGAGTCTGAGCCTAACCCTAATTCTCTTTTTAAATGCAGTTAGTTAGTTATTAATGTGGAGTGGGGCACATGTGTGCCACAGTGAGAGTGTAGTGTCAGAGGATCACTTAAGGGTGCTGGGTCTCTCCTCCACCGTGTGGGTCCCGGGAACTGAACTCAGGTCGTCGGGCTTGGTGGGTAGCCATAGCCTGCTGAGCCATCTTGCAGGTACACTAGTTCTTAGATTATCTTAAAACATGCCATTTTTCTTTTCTATAGTTACTGCAAATGGTGATATACATGCGCCATTTAGGGAAAATCGATACTTCAGTAGGAAACCTTAACATTTATTCTTTTCACTCAAGAAATAAGGTGTACCTATAACTTTTTAAAGGATAAATACCACTATAGGCCCTTTTGTTCTCTGAGGTATTTTTCATCACAAAATGTGAAAAATTAGTCTTCCTTCATCCTTAGAACACTTACATTTTTTCCTTTTTTACGTTGGCTGCCTTATGATGAAAAAGTCAGTACTAATTATCCTATTAATGAGTTGTCCTAGACAGTTTCTTTTTTATCTTAAAATGTGCTATTTTTATTTTTTGTCCCACTATAGCCGTCAGATGCCCTTCTCAACACCTAACTCCCTCATTTTAGATTTTCTTATTAACTATGATCTCAAAAATTTGATAGCCAATGTACTTGAGATCCTGTTTTGAAAAACAGTTTGGCATTTGTAGTTGCTTTCTGTGGTTGATGATGAAAAGCAGCTGCGGGTGGGGGGGGGTTGTTTAGTTTACACTTCTGTGTCATAGCCCGTGGAAAGAGATCAGGGCAGGAACTCAAGGCACTTTCCTGCAGGCAGGAACTAAAGCAGAGACCATGGAGCATTTCACAACATCAGCACTGACTGTTTTATTATCATTATTATTATTATTAATCACTGAAATATAATCAGTATTATTTCCTTAGAATGTTTAATCCAAATAGCTTTTTAGCTTCTAGTTTATAATCAGTAAACATAACACGATGTTTATTATTCCAAAGTGAAAACATTTACCTGTTGTTGTTAGTACTATGCAGATATGCCAGCGGAAGAAAGAGAAAAGAAGTTGGCTTCCTGTTCACGACACCGATTTCGCTACATTCCACCCAGCACACCAGAGAATTTCTGGGAAGTTGGTTTTCCTTCTACTCAGACATGCCTGGAAAGGGGTAGGAATAAATTTCAGTATTTTATATATTTATTTAGACACTTCATATAATCTCTTTAATGTGACTGTGCAGTAACTAGCTTTGTCAGATTTCAGAAAGCAGCTACATCCTGTCAATAACCTTATAGAGGTTAAAATGTTGACATGCAGCCAGTTCCTTCAAATTTGGCATTTAGATTTACATCATCAAAACTAGTTTTTAAAGTTTCAAGTAGTGATTTTTGTTCCTCACTGTCACCAGTAGCACAGTGTTAAAAAATATGGGTACATTGAATTTTTATGAAAAAGGGTGTATTTTCTGAGATGTGACTGGCAAGTACAATAGTGTTCCAATTATAATATGGCTAAATGATCTACGGCCATTTAATTTATTTGTAGTCTTTTGGTCTTAGGCTTGTATTTTAAGTTAAAACACCTAAAACTTTTACCAGAGATATGGCAATGAATAAATATCAAATGATAAAAGATGACCAACTAGACTTTCATTTCGGCTTCATCCTCTTACATAATTTTCAAGGTCTACCTTTGACTCACTGGAAGGGCTCCCTCACTTTCAGAGAAGCTTCATATATAAACTGTAAGAAATACACAATCATTGGCAGCATTTCTCCTCCTGATCATTGTATAGAATAAGATAAGCTGACTACACCTGGTGTTTGCCCTACGAGCCTGGCCCAGAGCACAGCCCTCCATAGAAAATTACATGATTAGCGATTCCTTGGGAGAATATAAATGGTGTGTAGAAAGAACATAGAAGCATCTCACCCAATGGAATAGCTATCACAAAAGACTTTGGGGGGAGTCACTGGAATTTATAATAATAGAAGAGTTTGGCTTTAACAATGTGGCCCCATGTGCAAACCTGTGGGGAGGGACAATATAGAAAAACTCTGAGAACTCTGGCACTGAGGTAGACAGAGTTAGGCGTGGTTCACATACTCTTCCAGTTTTGTGAACTTGAGCGAGTGGTTTGTTTCCTGCAGCTCTTCACCCTCATCTGGGAAGTCACTGTAGTAGAAGTGCTTGGAAGGACCATGAGAGCTATCTGAGGTGGTGGATCCAGCATTTTATTACTGTTTGCTGCTTTTTTCTCTTGGCATTAATGAGGGAACTCTGATGCTGAGTAGTGAAGTCATTCACCAGCATCGCAAGGCTAAAAAATCACAAGTACTTAGGCGTTAAACAAGTTAGATATATAACGGATAAATACTGAAAGAAATGCTATTGTTGTTATGTTTTTGTGTTTTAAGATCTGGTCTTTTGAAGCACAAGCTGGCTTTGAACTGTTGATCCTCCTGCCTCCACTTCCCAAGTGCTGGGAATACAGACAGCCACCATGCTCATCTGTGTTGAAAGAAATGAATATTGATAATACAGTGTTGTAAATTCAAAATTTATTTTTCAGGTTACATCAAGGAAGATCTTAATCTTTGCCCTCGTCCCAAAAGACGGCATCCTTACAATGTAGTGTTTTCTCCAAAAGGCAAGGAACAGAGGACCTAGATGTTGGAGTAAAAGTGGGCAAAAGACCTTTTTTCCCCCCATTTAGTTATTTATAGTTCAAGTTGTAATAAACATTGATCTTTGTTTTTTTATCATCTATAAATTTATAAATGAGTTTTCTATTAAAAATGTTTTTAAGTGGTATTTACCTATCACACAAATAACTATTTAAAATGTGGATGTGTTTGTTGTTTTTGTTTTTTATCTTTTGTGCCTTTAAGCAATAAGATTTTTCATTTTGCACTTAATGGTTTTTTACTTTTGTTTTAGTTAGGGTTTCTATTGCTGCCAGGAAACACCATGACCATGGCAACTCTTATAAAGAAAACATTTCATGGGGCTGGATTATAGTTCAGAGGTTTAGTTCACTATCATCGTGGTGGCAAACATGGTGCTGGAGGAGAGTTCTGCATCCAGATCAGCGGGCAGCAAGAACAGAATGCCACACTAGACCTGGTTGAGCATTTGAGATCTCAAAGACTGCCCCCTAGTGATACACTTCCTCCAACAAAGCCACATGTCCTAATGGTGCCTCACCCTAATAAGCAAGCCAGTGGTGGCCATTTCTTTCAAACCACCACTACTTTATTTGGTAATTACAGCTTTTGAAGTATGGTCATGGTGACCTATAATTTGTTCCTTGTGGATCTTATTTTGTTTCTTCTGGTGTGTACATGTAGAAGTGCTCTCCTGGTAATATCTATGGGCTTTCAGTTTGTCTCCTAACCTGTAGTTGAGACCAGTTTTTGACATTCAAGTGTTTGTTTTTGAAAAGAGAATGGGAGCTAACTTTCAGTAGTCTTTCTAACTGTCCAGGATCATTTCTTGTTTGAACTGAAATGAGTTGCCATTCTGTAGTCAGTTCCTTTCAAAATTACCACAGATATCAATAGACTAAGTTAAGCATATCATCTGATTTAATCATAATATTCCAGTTCTTTTCTTTTTCTAGTAGTTTTCAAGCTGAATTTGTTGGGTGCACCTTTGCCTGTGTATTCAACTGCATTATCTAATGTTGCTGGACTGACTATTATGAATTACTTGTAGTTTGGCCTCAGAGTCTTTTAGTAACTTTATATTCCTCTGGGTCTAATGGTGTCTGAGTTAACTGGGCACATTCTGTGCCTCCTGTTTTAATGGCAACTGTCTTTTTCTACATGCTCCTTTAACCCCTATCTTGCCAGTATTTTATGTAAACCAGCATACAGAAGACTGAAGAGAATACACTAGTAAGATCTGTGTAACCTCATTCAGAAAATCTTCTCAAAGTTGTAAAAATCCTCTTACTTAGCCTAGTCTTCCTTCATATGGCCAGGGTTCCAGATCTTATTTAGGAATATATTAATAAATTATTTGGCTCTCAACTTTTTACATCACTATGGTAGTTTCTGTTCATCACTTCTTTCCTTCAGTAATTATTTATCCTGTGTTTAGTGGAGGTGTATTTTGTTTTGTTTTGGTTTTTGGTTTTGTTGTTGTTTTCTGTATCAAGTGCTAACCATCGTTTTTGTTGCTATATTCTAGGACCTGTGCTTGTCACATAGGATTTTCCCTTTTAATTCTTAAATAATCTGTGAATTTAATAGTAATGTTAAATTGTAACAAGAAGATCCCCGAGACAGCAGATTAAATAAACAAATGACTGCTTCCCCACACACACACTTAAAAAAAAAATCTAGAAGTCATCAGTCATAGACTGCTAGAGTTATGTGACCCAACACACACACACACACACACACACACACACACACACACACACACACACACACACACACACACACACACTGATGACCCAGAACTCTTTTGACTTTCTGCTCTTCCAAATTCTGTGTTAAATTTATCTTCGTGGCTATAAAAATTATGTAGTATCTAGAATCATGTTTATGTTGTGTGCAAAAGGAAAAGATGAAAAGCACATGCTGTCTGTTCTGTCCCCTTTAAGAAGTTTTATGGAGCTGGGCATGGTTAACCATGCCTTTAATTCCAGCAGACTGGAATCCTGGTCCACACAGAGAGTTTCAGAACATCCAGGACTACACAGGGAGACCCTCTCTCAAAGAACCACAAATAAATGTTTTACAGAAAGCCCTATTGCTTTTCAGTGGCCAAAACTCATAGGGCTGCCTCCTTCCTGTCCACAGGCTATGAGTCTAGAGATCTCTGGACTTAACCAATGTGCCACAGAAGTGTGACATCTACCCCAGTAGATTTTTGCTTTTTAAAAAGCCTAAGCAAAAGAAGGTTGTCTGTGTAATGATAGTGGGACAGTTCTCTAATCCATTAGTAGTTAAATTGTTTAAATTTTATCTTGTCACCCTGTGTAAGGTTGGATGAACTGATGCCAATATCCCTTTTATGTACCGTTAGCTCTGTCTTAAAGTAATGAAATAAACACTTTTAAAACCACTTGAGCTAAAAGGCGCTAAAAGGCATTTAAATGCAAGTAGAAGTTTAAGACACTGCACATTCTCAGGCTTTTAAAAGCTAATATATAGGGGGGCTGAAGAGACGGCTGAATGGTTAAGAGCACTTGCTGCTCTTGCGGAAGACCCAGGTTTGTTTTTCAGCACCCTGATGGCATCTATAACTCTAGTTCCAGGGGATTTGACACCCTCCTCTGGCCTCCTTGGGCACCAGGCAGGCCTGTAGTGACATACATATAAACATAGTCACACTCACAAAATAAAAAGATAATGTAGAGAGGACTGCAGGGAGAGCTCAGCAGTTAAGAACACTGCCTACTCTTCCAGAGCACCTGGGTTCAGTTCCCAGCACCTACATGGCAGTCACAACCATCTGTAACTAGTTCCAGGGGGATCTGAATACTGACCTCCATGACACCAGGCAATTGGGTCGTATACAGACATACATGCAGGAAACACCTGTATACATTTTTAAATGTATAGAATTGGGATTTGTATATTTGTAAATAATTTATGTCTAACAGATGTTAGGTGGTATTTCTATATAAATATGTCATTCAACTGGCTATACTTCTGTGTAATTTCAGTTGCATAGAAGCTTCTTACAGTTGAACTGACTTGGATGCTGGAAATAGGCATCACTTACCATTTGAGTATCCCTGCCCCTGATCAACAGATACTCTGATTAAACTCTTTGAAATATAAAAAATTTCTATAGCAACTATTTAAATGAGTTATTTAGGAGTACCTCAATGTATGCAGAAGGTAATGTTATGGGGACAGGAAACAGTGTTTGAAACAAATATTTCTTAAAACAATTTAAGCAGGAAAAACTTTTTCAAAATCTGTCTGGCAAGTTGCTGCTTGAAAGGCCTATTATCTTAGTAATTCAATCTAAACTATAGTCAGCACTCTAAAAGACTGCAAAGATTCCTCTTTTGGGAGAGGGAGACAGGGGTTTCGAGACAGGGTTTCTCTGTGGGACCAGGCTGGTCTTGAACTCACAGAGATCTGCCTGCCTCTGCCTCCCTAGTGCTAGGAGTAAAGGCATGCACCACCACTGCAAGATTCCTCTTAAGATTGCTTTTTTTTTTTTATAGAAAATTCAGTTCTAAAAAGAACAATGATATTTAGACTTAAGAACACTACTTCATTTAACAAGTGTTTGCCAAGGGCATTATCTTTACCCAGGAGGCAGAAGCAGGTGGATCCCTGAGTTCCAGGCCAGTCTGATCTACAGAATGAACAATCAGGGCTACATAGAAAAACCCCCATCTCTGGAAGGAAAAACAAAAACAAAAAACAAAACAAGAGTACAACCCTTTCCACTACCACCACCACCACCAGAAGAACAGATTTTTAAGAAGCATGTGTCTGAACATCCTATTTCATGTTCCCTGGCACATTATAAGCATGAATTTAATTCGGAAAATGTCACTTCCAAACTAAACATGTGAGTTAAAGTTCATATTCTACCATTCAGCTGTGTCTTTGCAAAGTACCTACCAATTTAAAAGACACCTTAACATTGTTAGAATAACTCCTTAGATTGGTCCCTGAGTAAACATTAGTGAATTCATGAAATGGGTATCTGCTGTCTTGCCAGCAGAGGTCGGAAGAGAGCTATACCACAAAAGAAAACATCTAGGGAAATTAAAATGCGGGGGGCGTCTTTGATGCAGTAATGAAAACTCATTGGGTCAAACGAGATTTCAGTATAACTACTATTATAATAAATGGCAAAAACAAGAATTTATGGTCTTGAGAATAGGCCATCAATGTATACTTGGTGTTTCAAGATACAAAGACATGTAGGAGGTCCAAATACCCAGTGAGAAAAGCCACTTGAGAGTCCAAAGAAATTCAGACCGAGTATCTAAAAAATTGAAAAAAAAAAAAGATTATAACTAAGACTGTACCTAAAGTTAGCTTAGAGGAGAGGAAAAGGCAGTACACTCTGTCAGGAGATGAAATGTTAAACCACTAAGGAGTCAGAACCCTAGTAATAATGTAGTTAATGCCTCTCACTTTGTAGTGAATTAACAGCAATGCTGTGGTTCTAAAAATGCTAAAGTCAGAATGTGATACATCTGGGGCCTCTGTCTGTTCTTTCCCCTTTCTAGGTATAGGCTGGAGTACTAGAGTAGAATGCCTAGAAAAGCCAGAATTTATATGTCTAGGGCCTCTGTTCCTACTCTACTAGGTGTGGGTATGAGTTCTAAAGTAGAACTCTTAGGGTAGGTTAGTAAGAGAAGCTGTCCGAAATGTGGAACTGGAATGTAAGCAGAGTTTTTAGATAAAGTTAAGTCTCTGGTTTTCTCTATTAACACTAAATCTTTGGAGCCTCAATATGCAGGGTTTTGGCCTTGAGCACTATATAGCTGAAACTAGCCTCGGATTCCTCATCCTCTACCTCCAAAGTGCTAGGATGAAAGGCATTCAACACCACACCCAGTTTACGAAATGGTACTTTGATAGCATAAACTTACTTCATTCCCTCAACCCTGCCACCTAATAACCCAATTAGTAAGGCTAGATAAATATGAAAAGCAGCAGGCCATGTTTTTCATTGACTTCATCCTTTTATGTGATTTGCCTTGTGTATATAAGGGCACCATATGCATACATTGCCCTTGAGGCTAGAAGGTGTCAGATCCTCTAGAATTGGACTCATAAATGATTGTGAAACCACCATGTAGGTGCTGGAAGCCAACCCAGGTCCTCTGGAAGAGCAGCTAGTGCTCTTAACTGCTGA